ATGGACATCACCAGATGGTCAACACCGAAATCAGATTGATTATATTCTTTTGAACATTTCATGCAAAGATGGGCTCAATAAAGGACAGAAATGGTATGGACCTAACAGAAGCAGAAGATATTAAGAAGAGGTGGCAGGAATACACAAAGAACTATACAAAAAAGATCTTCATGACCCAGATAACCATGATGGTGTGATCACTCACCTAGAGCCACACATCTTGGAATGTGAAGTCAAGTGGGCCTTAGGAAGGATCACTATGAACAAAGCAGGTGGAGGTAATGGAATTTCAGTTGAGCTTTTTCCAATCCTGAAAGATGATGCTGTGAAAGTGCTGCACTCAATAGGCCAGCAAATTTGGAAAACTCAGCAGTGGCCACAGGACTGGAAAAGGTCAGTTTTCATTCCAATCCAAAAGAAAGGCAATGGTAAAGAATGCTCAAACTACTGCACAATTGCACTCATCTCACATGCTAGTAAAGTAAGGCTCAAAATGTGAACCCTGAACTTCCGGATGTTCAAGCTGGCTTTAGGAAAGGCAGAGGAACCAGAGATCAAATTGCCAGCATCCACTGGATCATCGAAAAAGCAAGAGAGTTCCAGAAAAATATCTACTTCTGCTTTATTGACTATACCAAAGCCTTTGACTGTGTGGATCACAACAAACTGTGGAAAATTCTTAAAGGGATGGGAATGCCAGACCATCTGACCTGCCTCCTGAGAAATCTGTATGCAAGTCAAGAAGCAACAGTTAAAACTGGGTATGGAACAACAGACTGGCTCCAAATTGGGAAAGGAGTACATCAAGGCTGTATATTGTCACCCTGCTTATTTAACTCATATGCAGAATACATCATGAAAAATGCCAGACAGGATGCAGCACAAGCTGGAATCAAGATTTCCAGGTGAAATATCAATAACCTCAGATATGCAGATGATACCACCCTTATGGCAGAAAGTGAAGAAGAACTAAAAAGCCTCTTGATGAAAGTGAAAGAGGAGAGTGAAAAAGTTGACTTAAAACTCAACATTCAGAAAACTAAGATCATGGCATATGGTCCCATCACTTCATGGCAAATAGATGGAGAAATAAGGAAACAGTGACAGACTTTCTTTTCTTGGGCTCCAAAATCATTACAGATGGTGACTGCATGAAATTAAAAGACGTGTGCTCCTTGGAAGAAATGTTATGACCAACCTAGACAACATATTAAAAAGCAGAGACATTACTTTGCCAACAAAGGTCTGTCCAGTCAAAGCTATGGTTTTTCCAGTATTCATGTATGGATGTGAGAGTTGGACTATAAAGAAATCTGAGCACAGAAGAATTGATGCTTTTAAACTGTGGTGTTGGAGAAGACTCTTGAGAGTCCTTTGGACAGCAAGGAGATCCAACCAGTCCCTCCTAAAGGAAATCAGTCCTGAATATTCACTGGAAGGACTGATGCTGAAGCTGAATCTCCAATACTTTGGCCACCTGATGCAAAGAACTGACTCGTTGGAAAAGATCCTGATGCTGTGAAAGATTCAAAGTGGGAGGAGAAGGGGATGACAACAGAGGATGAGAATGTTGGATGGCATCACGGACTCAATGGACTTGAGTTGAGTAAACTCTGGGAGTTGGTGATGGACAGGGAGGCCTGGTGTGCTGCATGCGTCCATGGGGTCACAAAGAGTCGGACACAACTGAGAGACTGAATTGACTGATGGACTGAGACAAGTGCAATTAAATTCAGTAGTTTGAACATTCTTTGGCATTGCCTCCAAGGTCAGGGAACTATTAAGAAGATCCCACAAGCTGCAAGGTGGGGCCAAAACAACAACACAATCCTGGTACAATTGCTAAAATCTAACTCTCCACCAACAAACAACTGAAGGTGACTGGAGGAAAGCCACAACCACCTTATTATGACTCTTAATCTACTTTAAATTGATCAGAAACCTCACATGGGAAGTCAGTGCTAACCAGATTATCAAACAGTTGGTCCCTAATCACTCACTGTTTCACTGTTGCTGTTCAGTCACAAAGTCTTTGTCTGACTCTTTACAAACCCCATGGACTGCAGCACACCAGGCTTCCCTGTCCTTCACTATCTCCCAGAGTTTGTTCAAACTCATGTCCATTGAGTTGGTGATGCCATCCAACCATCTCATCCTCTGTCGTCCCCTTCTCCCTGGCCCTCAATCTTTCCCAGCATCAGGATATTTTTCAACAAGTTGGTTCTTCCCATCAGGTAGCAAAGGGTTGGAGCTTCAGCTTCAACTTCATCATCAGTTCTTCCAAAGAATATTCAGGGTTGATTTCCTTTATGGACCTTGATGCCATGATCTTCGTTTTCTGAATGTTGAGTTTTAAGCCATCTTTTTCACTAGCATGAACCTGGGAGAGAAAATGCTAGTTGCCTTCAAATGCATTTCCCTCTTCTTCATTATTAATATAATTTAAGATTTTTAGTTAGGCTGATATTCAGTTGTAATAAAGACTAAATTTCTCAGCTTTCCTTGCTGCTAGATCTGGCCATGCAATTAAGTTCTGGTGAATGAAATGTAAGCAGAAGTGATATTTATGTTTTTAGGAAAGTGTCTTTAAGGAAAGAGGGCATGACCTTCTTCCTGCTTCTCCCTTCTTACTGACTAGAATTGAGATGAGATGGGTGGAGGTTGAGCAGCCATACTCAATATTGGTATTTTTAGAAGTGTGTAGGACAAATTTATATCATTGTATTTGTTATTCAAACAACAGAAAGAAAGGAATGTTATTTACTGTTCACAATTTCAGAAATTATGTATTTAAATGTACTTCCTATATTTTGTCAATGTACCTTCTAATTCCTACTCCTTCTGAAATAACATCCAAATATCTTAAATAAAATTTAAGAGATAATAAAGGAGGAGTGATAAATTTTAAAACAATTGTAAGGCTTAAGATTCAGAAGTTTCCAACTCAGACCCATATTTAGCAGTGATAATAGAAATAACTTTTCTTAAATCGAAACCCAAAGTGACACATGCAGTTGGGATGGGGGAGAGCAGGGCTGTTTTGTCTTTTCATGTTTAGGATTAAAAGACAGAAGTCTTGATGATGGAGTTTACCATGGTTGATGTTTTAGAAAGCACAGATTGAAAAGAATTGATGTCTTTGAAAGTAATGACAAGACTTATTTTCTCAAATTTAAATTGAATCAGTAGCTCTCTGAACATATTCCCATGCTAGCTCTGAATTCAGTTGTACTATTGAGAAATGTCAAATGTACTTTGAGAAGGGGTGTTACAGTACAAAGAGCGGCATGGGCCGCTGAACCAGACTGACCTAGATAGGGAGCCCTGTCATGCCACTTGTCAGCTATGGGCTATTGCACAAAACATTTAATCTCCCTGGGTCAGTTTTTTTATGCATAAAACTGGAATACTTATTTCTGACACAGGATTGTTTTAAACTTATATGAAATAAATATCTAATGTGCTTTGTAATGCTGAACCCTCAGTGAACTTTTACCGACTGAATTAACATTAAGCAAACAAGTTAGTGATATTTAATGTCAAATGACATTTTGGACTCCATAGATAACTTTTCCCCTGTTATTAATTTTTCTTAGTTTTTAGGGTTAAATTCATTTTTATTTAAAAATACTCGGGGGGGGGGATGCCAAAACCTGGAAATAATTTTTTTTTAATAAAAATTTTTAAAGAGATTCAGCAAGAGAGAATTAGAAAGCACAGTCAATTCTCTTCCTTTTTTCTTAAACAACTGAATTACTTTTCTCACAGTTCTGGAAGCTAAAAGTCCAATATCAAGGTGTTGGCAGGTCAGGTTTCCTTTGAGTCTTCTCTTCTTGGTTGTAGATGGCCATTTTCAGCCTACGTCTTCACATAGTGTTCCCTCTGGATCCTCATCTCTTCTTATGAGGACAGCAGTCATACTGGATTAGGGTTCACTCTAATGGCAGTTTAAGTTAATTACCTCTTTAAAGACCCTGTCTCCAAATACAGTCCCATTCTGAAATACTTAAGGTTAGGACTTAAGTGCATGAATTTAGCGGGCTGGGGGTAGGGGGTGGTGTGGGGAATGAAATGCAGCCTATAACACCCCTCTACTCTGCCACTTCTGTTTTAGCAAAAGTCTTTCCCTGATAGCTCAGTTGGTAAAGACTCTGCCGGCAACGCATAAGACCCCAGTTCCATTCCTGGGTGGGGAAGATCCCCTGGAGAAGGGATAGGCTACTCACCCCAGTATTCCGGCCTGCAGAATTCCATGGAGAAGTCCATGGGGGTCCAAAGAGTCAGACCTGACTGAGCGACTTTCACTTTCACTTTCCAATTTTAAGACACTAAAATTTTGCTTAGTTTTGAGGAGAGTAAAATACTTTAAGTATTATATTTTAGTTATTGAAAACATTTCTGTTAAATGAGCACACAGTGGATACAATCACTTTAATCTAGGGCGGCCTATTCCCAGGGCCTGGGGAGGACATGCAAGTGGTCAGAGTCCGGTCAAAGGGGACTCGCTAAGACCAGGGGAAGAAGGAGGCGATCAGCGGGGAAAGGAGAGACAGTCAGCAGGTGGTCGGTACAAATGCAATCTGTAAAAACACATTTCACGGCCAGTTTTACTGATGGTGACTGAGTGACGTTCCTGTTCCTGATGACTAGCGAGCTAACTCTGATACAAGACTTCAGCTTAGACAGCGCTTTGACAGGCTGTCTCTCTTAATCCTCTAGTCCCCGGACGAGGCTGGTGGAGATGTGTCAGCGGTCAATTGTTTAGTCTGAGCACATTCCAAAGAGGAAAACGCGCCCCCGCGCAGGAAAGGGACCCACTTATAGGACAGTTACTCAGCGAGGACCGGCGGTCACCACGCCCCCTCTGGAGACAGGCGCGGTAAGCCGAGCTCTTCCCGCTCAATAGTTGTCCAGCCGGGGGAGGCTGCGTCACTGCTCCGCGCAGCGAGGCGGGGCGTCGCCCGGCCTTCCGTCACTCGCCTGCGCCTGCGCCTGCGCGGATCGTCATGCTGTCAACTAGGTGTGTGGGTCTGGTACTACTCCCGCTGCGGCGCCTCCAGAGGTTTCCGGGATTCAGGACCAGTCTCTTCCTGCGCCGCCTTGGGCGAGAGTCCTTCGAGAGAGGCCGGTTACTGTGTTTTAAAGCCTCACCTAGAGACACGGGAGATGAAGAAGGAGAGCACGAGGCGGCACAGAGGAAAACCCCAGGCGCAGACTCGCCTTCATCTCTGCCTCCCCGCGTCCGGGGACTTGGGACCAAATGTCTGTCGTCGCTGGAAAGTCTCGGACTCCCGATGCCGCGAGAGAAGTCACCCTCTCAAGAGAGCGAGGGCTCGAGTGGAGACCAGGGCCAGTCGGATTCTGCACACCCGGGATCCGGGAGTCCCTCAGTGCCCGCCTTGGTCCAGCCTGCCACCAAGGACGAAATCCTACACGTCTCCTCTTCCTGGTCCGCTTCTAGAGTGGTGCCTTTTCGCGTTGGGGAGCTCATTTTAGCTGAGACTGGGAAGAGAGAAACACAATTTAAAAAATTATTTAGGTTGAGCAACGCCGGACACTTAAATAGTAATTGGGGGACAGTCCCGTTCAGCGAGATCGTGGGGAAGTTCCCCGGCCAGATTCTGAGGAGTTCCTCTGGTAAACACTTCATGCTGAGGAGGCCGGCATTGGAGGATTATGTGTTACTGATGCAAAGAGGGCCTGCCATAACGTATCCTAAGGTAATGCCATGGGAGTTACTAAGAGCAAAACGGTTGCAGTACTACAGACCTGATTAATGTACTTAAAGCACCGCTCAGAATGTTTCAAGTTTGTATTCTCACTTTTTTTTTTTAAACCAATAGCTATAACTTTTACATATTTTTTGATTTCTAATTCTAGGAAGAAACAGCCAGATTTTAATTTTAACTTGGGAGACTCGATTCTCTGATCTGTAAAGTGACTTACTATCATGGGGTGATGTGGACTCACTAGGCATTTAATAAGAATGTACATTTATTCCCCATAATACTTAAGTTTGCAGGTTCAGCCTTCAAGAGAATGTTGAACTCTTGGGGACAATTGTTTAGTACCACTGTGGTGATATTTTAAGCATCATACTTAATGAGGTAAGTTATTAGAGGTTATTGTTCAGTCATTAAGCTGTGTCCGACTCTGCGACTCCACAGACTGCAACATGCCAGGCTTCCCTGTCCTTCTCTGTCTCCCTTAGTTTGCTCAAACTCATGTCCATTGATTCGGTGATGCTATCCAGCGATCTCATTCTCTGTCTCCCCCTTCTCCTCCTGTCCTCAGTCTTTCCCAGCATTAGGATTTTTTCCCAGTGATTCCACTCTTCACATCAGGTGACTAAAATATATTTTATCAACAATAGATTTATTACTATGCTTTTATCATTAGGGAAAGATGTTTGTATTAAAACAGCTAAAATTAGACACTAAACATAAAAGGGATATTCTTTAAAGGAAATTACCTACCAATTCCTTGTTACAGTCTTGTATCCATTGCTAGTGGATTATTTTAATCATTCATCATAGTCACTGTCCTTGAGTAGAATGTTCATTTGTAATTATAACAACTCTTCCTCCAGTCCTAGATGGAGAATCATTCATTATTTCTTCAGCAAATAACCACCAACCTTGTACATTCAGGGCACTATTTTAGGGAGGTGTAGTGGTGAACTATAGTCCTTGCTCTCAACACAGACCTCATGTCCTAGAGCAATGGTCCCCAACCTTTTTGGCACCAGGGACTGGATTCATGGAAGACAATTTTTCCACAGACTAGGGTGGGGTGGGGCAGTGTTGTCAGATTGATTTAAGCACATTATGTTTATTGTGCACTTATTTCTATTATTATTACATTGTGATATATAATGAAGTGTTTCTATGTCTTATATGAAAGAGCCAAGGAAACAGAACTGCTTCTTGTGGGCATTTCGTTTAAATGATTGCTGGAGCTGCCTCCCACTCCTGGGTGAAATTATCTGTACCCCCTCCCACCTCTGCTCCCATGTGCCTGACAGATGGGAAAGGATATGTGTGTCTGAAAGGCTTTGAATTTGTGACTGAAACTTTTTGAAGAGTACACCTTAAATATTATGTGTCTATGTATCATCTGGTTCAAGTCTTAGTCCATCATTTCAGAAAACACGTTTTGGCTTTCAGTTGGACCACTGTACCTGTTAAATATTAATAGTTTCTTATGCAGCCAAACCCATATTTAATACACAGTTTTTTTGTGATTAAACAGAGGATCTTATTCTTTTTTAGAATTTTCACTTCAGCTTCTCCCAGAGAAGAAAAAGATAGTAAAAACTTAATTGATATGCTGCTTATTAGCAACTTCAAAAGGTTTGCTATTGGGGGGAATGTTGAAATAAATGCTAAAATTTACATTTTTTCTCTCTATAGCATTTATAACAAATAGTGTAACAGTCAACTGCATGGTGTTTGGGAGTTCAGCATCAGTATTACTTGCCCACTTAATTCCTGGCTGTGTGACTTTGGGCAAATTACTTAACCTTTCTAATTTCTCATCCTTTAATGGCAGTGGTGATCATCTTCTCATTATTATTCTGATTAAACAAGAAAATATTTGAAAGCAGTACCTGGTGAAGTTTCAATGAACAGCTATTACTACTATCACCCATGATATTCCTGTTAACAAAAGAATTCTTTAGTTATAAAGTTTGGCAAATGTGTCCTCCTGTCTGTTCCTGGTATCCTAATTCTAAATGAGAAGTCATCATTTCATGCAGATTATGTAATAACTTCCTAACTTGTCTTTCTGCCTCTAATTTTTCTCAATTCTAGTACACCCTGTATTGCCCTGACAGATTAATCTTTATAAAATGCCATTTATATTACCTCAGTGACACATCCTAGTTACTTACCGTGTTAAGTTTAAATGCTTTAGCCTGGATTCAGATGAGCAAACTGTTTTATTCTACCTCTTTTTTGTTGAAAGCTGTCCCTACCTTGTGACTGTTTCCTTACATTTTCAGTCTTTAAGCCAGGGTACTCTGCTGATTTCTCTCCTTTCTCTGAGCTTCTAATGTTACTTATTGTTTGTAATTTCAGTATTATACTTAAGTCCTTTTGTATTTGCTCATTGATTCCTGAATCTCTCATTTTGTCAAGTAAACTATAAACTCTTGGTAGAAAGGGCCAGAGTTTAATCCTTTTTTTTTCCTTCACTTTTCTCCAAGCTCAACATAGTGTTCAAAGGAGTAGGTGCTTAGTACATATTTATTGGCCACACAATCATCCATGCTGTATTTCAATCATAGGATATAAATATGATACTGTCGATGATGAATATCCACCCAGGTGATACTGTTTTGGAAGCTGGCTCGGGCTCTGGTGGAATGAGCTTATTTTTATCCAAAGCAGGTAAGAGATTAGGGTAAATGAATTTAGATGACAAAGAAAACATTCAATCTGTTCATAATTACAGAAAGTTAAATAGATACAGATAATGTTCACATAACTTTGTGATAGAGAGCATTCTCTTTGAAATCAAATGTAAGCAATCATTTTTCTATTTTGTACATTTATTCAAGTCACTTTCTGTCTAACCCGCTCTTTGCTTTCTATTGCTCCTTGGATGCTTTTTTTTAACTGAAATTTTTATTAGAACATAACACAGCAGCAGAAAAGTACACAGATCATTATTGTATACCTCAGTGAATCTTTATGTAGTGACCACACTCATGTAGTTATTACCCAGATCAAGATAGGGAATATTATTGTACTATTGAAACCTTCTCAAATCCCTCTCAGTCCTTATCCTAACCAAAGGTAGAAGGTAACCACTACTTTGACTTTAATCACCATTGATGAGTTTTGCCTGTTTTGAATCTTACATAAAAGGAATCCTTTAGTACTATACACTTTTGAATCAGTTACTTTCATTCAGCATTCTGTTTGTGAGGTTCAGTCATTGCATGTAGCAGTAGTTACTTCATTATAGTTGCCATTTTATAAGTGAAGCACAGTTTATCCATTCCGCTGCTGATGGGCATTTGAGTTGAATGTTGTAAACAGTGCTCCAGTGCTCCTCCGAACACTCTTGTGCTTGTCTTTCAGTGCACATGTGTACATGTTTTTGTTGATAATAGTGCCAAATGAATACTCAGTATCAGAAACTATAGAAGGGGGAAAAGGGCTGTCAGCTGCTGGGGAAGAGTCATATACTATTAGAGGCAAAGAATTATCATTGTTCATGAATAAATTAATTAAGCTATTAAGCTAAAACTAGATCATGAAGAATTTTCCTTTCTTAGAGAACGTCTCTAAAAATTGTCAGTTGGTTAAAATACTGCTTAAAGGTCAAAATTCAAGAGGTATATAGTAAACATAAATATCTGTTCATGTTACCTCCACTTGAATTCTGGTTACTGTTGTTGTAGCTGATTACTGTTGCTCCTTTTGGCCACTGAATTCCTCTGATTGTCAAGGTTGCTTTGGCTTGTTTGACTGCCTCTGCAGTGTTCCCTTTCTCACCCAATAATAGACAGCACTCTCTTTGGATAAATTTTTTTAAAAAATCATTCATGTTGTTTTTATTAGTGCATTCTTTTTTAGCTAATAAACATTGTTAGAGCAGTTGTAGGTATATGTGGGTAGATTTTATAAAGATTACAAATAGACATATACTGAATTAAACCTTTTGTTTTTTGACCTAATGTCATCACATACAAACATAATCCAGCTTATCCTGGGTCAGGAAATTCATTTTGAGCTCCTCACCTCTTTTGTTGGACTCTTTTCTGTGCATAGTTAAAGGCAGCCATTTCTTCACAGTCTATGACTGATTCCTAAGTGCATTTGACAAAGTGAACTTATAAAAGTTTGTGAGATAGGAGTGTCCATATTTCTAATACCTATAGTGTTGGAGGAGTGTCACATAGCATGAATAATCCCAACCTATGAGTGATCAAGAAATCATTGCTATTTACCTTCAGGATGGATATTTTTGCTCCATAATTTTCTAAACGTTTAGCTTATGCTGCTATTAACATTAATTTTTATCCCTTGAGAACATGATGAATTATAGCTGGACTTACATTTTAAAGAGACATGCTGGAATTTAAACTCATTTTAACTATAGACTGATTGACCTGGGACAGCCTGCAAATCAAATCACCTCATATAGAGAGGGATAGAAAATTAATTGCTGTATTTAAAATGTAGTAGTTTTCTGTGAATCTACAGTATTGCTATGATAGTTTGGAAGTTTTTCAGACACACACAAAAATACAAGTATCTTTGAAAGTGAAGTGAAAGTGGTTCAGTCTTGTTTGACTCTTTGTGACCCCATGGACTATACAGTCCATGGAATTCTCCAGGCCAGAATACTGGAGTGAGTAGCCTTTCCCTTCTCCAGGGGATCTTCCCAGTCGGGGGATCGAACACAGGTCTCCCACATTGCAGGTGGATTCTTTACCAGCTGAGCCATAATGGAAGCCCAAGTATCTTTTAAGTATCCAAAAGGCCTAACTTCATCCTAACAAAATACATGCAAGTTAAAACTACAGTGATAAACTCGATGCAATTTTTAGGTTGATACAAAGTTTGGTAATTCTGTTGGAGAGAGTATGGAGAAATACATTATTGGTCAAGTGTAAATTGGTATCATTTTTTTGGAGAACAATTTGGTAATAATTTTCAAAATAAAAAAAATTCACATATACTTTGAGTCAGCAATTCCATTTTTAGGACTTTATCCTATATATATAACTGGCTTGTTTACAAAGACCTAGGCAAAATAATTGTCACTGCAGTATTGTTTGTAATAGTGTAAGATGAGAAACAAGCTAAATGTTCTTTGGCAGGTGACTGCTTAAATAAACATAGCCATACAAGGGAACATAATAGCTCTTTTAAAAAAATGTAGTAGATCATTAATCACTGAAATGCCATTGGTAAATAAGAAGAAAGGTACAGGACAGTATGTATGATGGGACACAGTGTTTGTTAAAAACAGAAAAAGAGATACTTGCAAAATTGCATACTTGTAGAGGCACCGACTATCTTGGGAAGGGTAAATAACTGTGGTGATGTGGTTGCCTCTGAAGAGGAAGACTGACTGGGGATTTGGGATAGGATAGAGACTTTTGTGACCTTGAACCACTTGAATTATTTTTTCACACCCATGTAATATCTTTGAAAAATAAACTTTTGACATTTTTAATAGACTGATTTATACTATGTACTGTCATAATTTTTTTTTAATTAAGTTGGCTCACAGGGACGAGTCATAAGTTTTGAAATTCGAAAGGACCACCACAAACTGGCTATGAAGAATTATAGACACTGGCGTGATTCATGGAAAATAAGTCATGTAGAAGAGTGGCCAGACAATGTAGAGTTTATTCATAAGGATATTTTAGGAGCAACAGAGGACATAAAATCTTTAACATTTGATGCGGTAAGTTTTCTAAAGTGGGTCCTATGATATTACCTAATACTGAGTACAAAGAAAACAAAGGCCACACTTCTTTTGTATGAGAAAGGATCTTTCTTCATTATTTGTCCCATTTCCATTTCTAAGAGTGGGAGGAATATTTTCCTTTAATATCATGGTTGGATTTAGAGCAGAGATATATACTGAATTAGGTGCCAGAGTTGTTAATAAATGTGCCTGTGCCGTGCAGGCCATGCTCAGCCACTTCAGTTGCATCCGACTCTTTGCAACCCCATGGACTGTAACTCACAAAGTTACGTGAAGCAAGAACTCCCAGAGGCACAGCTGGGTTTAGAGAAGGCAGAGGAACCAGAGATCAAATTGCCAACATTCGCTGGATCATAGAAAAAGCAAGGGAATTCCAGAAAAACATCTACCACTGTTTCAATGACTATGCGAAAGCCTTTGACTATGTGGATCACAACAAACTGGAAAACTGTTAAAGAGATGGGAATACCAGACCATCTTACCTGTCTCCTGAGAAACCTGTATGCGGGTCAAGAAGCAACAGTAAGAACCTTATATGGAACAACTGACTTGTTCAAAACTGAGAAAGGAGCATGACAAGGCTGTTTATTGTCACCCTGTTTATTTAACTTACATACAGAGTCCATCATGTGAAATGCCAGGCTGAATGAGTTATAAGCTGGAATCAAGATTTCCTGGAGAGATATCAACAACCTCAGATATGCAGATGATAGCACTTTAATGGCAGAAAGTGAAGAGGAACTAAAGAGCCTCTTTTGATGAGGGTGAAAGAGGAGAGTGAAAAAGCCAGCTTAAAACTCAATATTAAAAAAACTAACATCATGGCACCCAGTCCCACCACTCCATGGCAAATAGAAGGAGAAAAGGTTGAAACAGTGATAGATTTCCTCTTCTTGGGCACTAAAATCACTGTGGATGTTGACTGCAGTCATGAAATTAGATGACTGCTTCTTGGCAGGAAAACTATGACAAATCTTGGTGTATTAAAAAGCAAAGACATCACTTTGCCAACAAAAGTCCATGTAATCAAGGCTATGGTCTTTCCAGTAGCCATGTATGGATGTGAGAGCTGGACAGTAAAGAAGACTGAGTGCTGAAGAATTGACACCTTTGAACTGTGGTGCTGAAGAAGACAATTGAGAAACTCTTGGACAGTAAGGAGATCAAACCAGTCAATCTTAAAGGAAATCAACCCTGAATACTCATTGGAAGGACTGATGCTGAAGCTGAAGCTCCAATCCTTTGGCCACCTGATGCAAAACAGCCGTCTCACTGGAAAAGACCTTGATGCTGGGAAAGATTGAAGGCAGAAGGAGAAGAGGTTTCGAGAAGATGAGATGAGTGGTTGGCATCACTGATTCAGTGAATAAACTTGGGCAAACTTCGGGAGATGGTGAGACAGGAAAGCCTGGCATGCTACAGTGCATGGAGTTGCAAAGAGTTGGACACAGCTGGGCTACTGAACAATAACAGACATTGAATATAGTCCCCTGTGTTACACAGTAGGACCTTGTTTATCTATTTTATATATAATAGTTTGTATCTGGCAATCCCAAACTCCTACTTTATCGCTCCCACCTGTTTCTCATTTGGTAACCATAAGTTTGGTTTCTATGCATTAGCAGTAGGATGAATTTGAGAAATACTAAGAGATTTGTAAGACTGGGAAATTTTAATCCAAACAGAAGCATCATAACCCTACAGAGTCTCAAAAGAGAATTCAAGGTAAAGAAAATAATGTAGAGGATCATGTCATCTGCAAACAGTGAGATCTAAGTTTCTGTTTTGAGTGGCTAATGAATGGTAATATTGTTGGCTGAGTATAATAGAGCTTTGGATTGGCAGGCTGCTTGGTAGTCTGATTTTTGGTCCTTGTCAATAATATAATAAGACTGCAACCAAAGAAATCCATTTATGTCCACAGTGTTGGCCCCTTGATTAGTCATTGAGATCTTTACTTGGATATCTAATAGGCATCTTAAACTCGTGTCCAAATCTGAATTCTCAAATATTTCTCCCCAAGCTTGTTCTTTCATTGTCTTAGTCATTTTCCTCAATAGTAAATGAGGAAAATTTACTCCATTCTTTCAGTAGCTTAGGCTAAAAACATTGAATTTATCCTCACTTCTCTCATCTCACAGCCAATCCTAACTCTAATTGGCTCTGTCTTATCACATTCAATGCTATTTGCTATTGCAAGTCACCATCATCTTTCCTTGCCCAAGTCAGAATATACTTAATGCCACTGAACTATACACTTGAAATGACAAGTTTTATGGTATGTTTATCACACTCAAAAAAGTTTAAAAAGTCAAATCATGTCTAAAACTCTCCAGTGGCTTCTCTCTTCATGAGTAAAGCTAAAGTCTGTAAGATTCTGCATAATTTTTCCTTCCCCCATTTCCACCACATCCCCATCATCTGAGAACCCTTCTCTTGCCACTTTCCCACTTTTGTTCCCACTGCAGCGATAGTGGCCTTCTCAGACTCACCAAATATGCTTCAGCCTCAGATAATTTGTATTTGCTCTTCTCTCCATCTGGAGTACACTTCCCCCCCTAAATTTCCACAGGGTGAGTATAATCACTTTCTTCAGGTCTCTTCATGACCAGCCTATGTATAAAATAGTACTTCCTTTCCTTGCCCTGTCACTCTATCCTTCATATTCTCCTTTATAGTCCTGTAGTTCATGTCACTCTTTACTCTTTGAATTACATATTTATTGAATTTTTGTTTAATGTCTATCCCTTAATTAGAATATAAGTTCCTATGAAACAAAATAGAATGTAAGCTCCCATTTTATTTTTACCACTTAGCAAGATACTTGGCACATGGAAGTTGCTCAATAAATATTTGGTTAATAAATTATTAATGAGTGATGACCCATTTTTTTTTTTAAAAAAAACATGTGAACAGAATACTTTAATTTAGTAAATTTAAGGATGTGCCAACTAGATTAGATTTCTGGAGTTATCAGTAAGTCAGTTGTTTTCTATTTTGGCTATTTATTTTTGTTTTCAATGAAATTTTTTTGAAAATCTCACTCATTGTATTCATTTGACATCTTTTGAGTATATAGCCTTGTATTTTGCAACTGAATGAAGAGTAAAGAAATAAGGGACATGATTCTTATATTTTAGAATCTCTAAAATTAATATTCAGAAGTTTTCTTTTGAACATAAAAATACACATTTGAGATGGTGTGAATTTCTATTGCAAAAAGCTGAAATAAAGCATTGAAATTATATATATACAGTGGACCTTTGAACAACACGAAGTTTAGGGGCAACAATCCTGCTTGCAGTCAGAAATCTGAGTATAACTTACAGTCAGGACTCCCTCTCCATGGTTCCATCATATCCAAGGGTTCTACATCTTCAGATTTAACCAACTGCAGATTGTGTAGTTCTGTAGTGTTTACTATTGAAAAAATCCTTGTGTAAGTGGACCTGCACAGTTCAAATCCATGTTGTTCAAGGGGCAACTCTGTGTGTGTGTATGTGTATGTATAAAAGTAGCTAAAGATTCCTGTATTATCAATATTGTCAAGTACAAGACTTGCCATTACAGTTTTTATGTAGTCAAGAATTATAACAAAATGTATAATAATAAATGTGCCTTTTTGAGAGAAGTAAAATGATCATCATCAGTACTGTATTCTAAAAAGTGAAATACTTTAACTGAGTATTTTAACTGCTTTTCCAAAGTGTATCATTTCACCACAATAAGAAAAGAAAATACATGCTTTATTTAAACAAAACTCAGTCTGATTCTCTTTCCCCACTATAGGTAGCTTTGGATATGTTGAATCCTCAAGTTGCTTTGCCTGTTTTATTCCCAAATCTTAAACAGGGTGGTATATGTGCTGTATATCTAGCAAAGTGAGTAATGTGACTGTACTTTTTTGTAATGTTATTTTTTTTAATTTACTTTATCTCATAAAACTGTTATGAAAGAGCATATGTCCCAAAAAACAGTAATATAAGATGGCTATTTCCTCTCACAATTTAGAAGAAAAGTTTTTAAAAGTGTAATCTGTATTTTTTTACTTAGTATTCTCTTATGTGCCCTAACTTGCATTTTTACTTTTTTCCCCCTGTCTTGATTTAAGTATAGCATTTAAATTGGGATAAGAGGTATAGTGAACTTAGTTATTTCTGTACTGGAAGTTTAAAGTACATTATTCACTTTTTTGAAAGCATCACACAGGTTATTGAACTTTTAGATGGAATTCGCATCTGTGAACTTGCCCTCTCATGTGAAAAGATAAGTGAAGTTATTGTCAGAGATTGGTTGGTTTGCCTTGCAAGACAGAAAAATGGAATTTTAGCTCAAAAAGTAGAACCTAAAATCAACACAGACGTACAAGTACACTCTCAAGAAAAAATCAGAATTGAAGGTGAGATGTTTCAATATGATGACCATGGTGAGTTTCAATTCTATTTTATGCATGTGTTGCAATAATAAATGGAGAATACATTCCTGAGTATATGAGCAATACATTATAAAAATATTTCTCAGAGATTTATTATTTTTTTCCTATGGAAACTGAAATGTATTTATTCTGTTCAGTTAAAATCTCTAAGAGAAAGAATCATGACTTTTTCTGCCTTTTATGTAAAACTCTGATACCTTTGAAGAACTGAACTTATAAATATTCATATTTGTGACAAGAGGGTTGGCTTATGAAATATTTTAAATATACTAAAGAATGTTTTAAATTTAGATCAGTGATTATCACTGCAGGGAAAGAATTTAAGGACTTGGTATGCAAATAGCTGATATTCCAAAAAGCAACTTCTAGTATGCTGCTGGAATTTTTCCAAGAACTAAATTTAGTTCCTTATTGTATGTACACATTATTTAGACCATAAACACGTTTTCAGACATCTACTGATTTATGATATGGGCTTATTCATTTGGTAATAAAACCATATATAAAGTTTATCAACAAGTTGTTTCTGTAAGATAACTGTCAGAATAGCTACAAAACAAACACTAAAAAAAAAAAAAAAAAAAAGAAAAAACTTACAAGAAAGGGACAGTAATTTGTTGTTTAACAGTTTTGTAAACAAATTATCAAATATTTTATGTAGCTTATATACATATTTTGTTCTATTACAGAAGAATCACATTCTGATTTTCCCTATGGATCGTTTCCCTATATTGCTAGACCTATACACTGGCAAATTGGTCATACAGGTGAGTAATTTTTTTCAGGCTATATTATATGGTATTTTCTTCTCATTATTCCAATCACCTTACCTTTTTATCCCCTTAATTTAGCTTTTCTTGTCAAGTTGAGGAAGTGCAAACCACAACTAACTGAGTACCTCAGATGACAACTGATTTGAAGACTTGAAAAGTATCAAAAAGAACTTTATATTGCAAATCAGTACTTTCATAGATTGGTATTTTTAGCTATCAGTATGATTTGTATAACTTTTACATGTAACTTTGAAAAGTAATAAAAGCTGGAGAAACATGTAACATTTCAAAACTGCTTAAATGTCCCATTTTGACACTTGTCTTGCAGTTTGGTATTTTGTAGTAAATGATTCCAAGTTGGTTTAGTTGAGCCATTTCATTCTTCACTTCCTGTAAACCACTCCATAGATTTGTCTTTCTTCATGAAATTAGTTTTCTTTTCTTTGTTTGATCGATGATCATTGGCTACCAAAATAAAATATGCATTTTGAGGTAAATTTTATGTACCTGTGTATTTTAAATATATACATTAATGGCTTGTATGTATCTTAGAAAATAACAAGTCTAGGCTATAGTAAATAATAGGGAAAAAACTGATAATGATATCACTATGTAACAAAAGATGTAACAATTCTTGAATCTCTTTTGCCCTTTTTAACACTTTGAAAGAACATCAGAATTATTCTGTTGTTATATAAGTCAAATGTTTGGGGAGTTTCCTGGCAGTCCAGTTGTTAAGAGCTTGGCACTTTCACTGCCATGGCCCAGGTTCAATCCTTGGTCAGGGTACTAAAATCTTGCAAGCTGCATGATGCAGCTAAAAAAAAGTTTGGAGAGATACACTTTATAAATATGAACTAATTAGGACTAGATTTTATTTTTCATAGGCACCAGTCATTTAGCATTTCCCATGTACCTTACATGTCTTAAGGACTTTATAATGTCTTTTTATTTAATATGTGCTGCTCATCCTTAAGGTTATTCATATTTTACAGATAAACATAAGCTTAAAGTTATTGTTTAAATATAGATTTTTATAGGTTTTGAAGTAGTAGTGCCTGTAAGGATAAATGCTACTTATCTCTTAGGCTAGAACTACTTAATATACATATCCTAAAAAACATTTTACATACTTTTCATTATGTGGAAAATCTAGTCTAAAATCTATGCCTTTTTTTTTTCCATTTATTTTTATTAGTTGGAGGCTAACTACTTTACAATATTGTAGTGGTTTTTGCCATACGAATGGATAAGAAAGCTGTGGTACATATACACAATGGAGTATTACTCAGCCATTAAATCTCTGCCTTTTTAGATTTTATACCCTATAATAGAGATAGACATTAAAAAAAATCACACAAATATAAAACTAAAACTGTTATAAATGCTTCAGAAAAGTACAGGGTACAATAGAGATTTTGCTCAGGTAAAGTAATTACCTGTGCAAGTGACAATTGAGCCAAGACCTGAAGGGTAGATAAGAGTTAACTACAGCAAGGAAAATGAGCACAAAAAGGTGTCAGTGATATTGCGGTTGACTGAAAGAGACTGAAAAGAAGGTAGGGGTCAAGCCATGCAGGATCTTGTAGACCTGTTATGGAGTTGGTCTATCCCAAGAAAAATGGGGTGCTACCGGAGGATTTAGTGAAGTAAGGGTTAACATGCTTAGATCTGTGTTTTGAAAAAAAATCACTTTGGTTGCATTTAGAGAACTGATTAAATCATAAGCAGAGAAGTCTTCTGGTACTATTTCTGTGTGGTAAGTATCTGAACCACTTATATAATAATAATGGCTTTAAACTTTCCATAACAATTACAGATGTATAGAAGTTCTAATATGCATTTTTAAATTCCATCATGGAATACTCTCCATTCTTCTGCCCTTCTGTTTAACTGCTAGTGAAATTGTGTCCTTCATTTACTGTTTTGAACACAGGCCCTAATTGTACTTTTTGGAGAAGGGGATGACTTAAAGAGAGAAAAGTTGTGCCTTCTCCTGTTTCATGTAGAATAATTTGTTTGGTACACTGCTCAGTAGATGTTGAACTAAACAAGACCTAACAGTGTCGATTCTAATACTGAATTAAAAACAAAACTACAGAAGCAAATAAACATTTATTTGCATATTTAATCAAAGTCCAGTTTAAGCCCTTTTTCCATCTCTTCATTGAACACTAAGCATCTTTATAATTTGGTTTGTGGGACAAATGCCTTCTTCTAAAGTTAGCTTTCTTGGTTCATGTCTGGCCCTCATTTACCATAAAATACTCCTAGAGATCTGTGACTGACTCACAACTGTCTTCCTAGTAACTTCCAGAGGTCCTGACTTTTCTACCCAGTAAATGGTCAGTAAAAGTTTGCTGATGGCTTTGAAGCCTACACTGGATCAGGTATTATTTCATCAATGTTGACTTGATTGTTCTAGGGGGGAATGTAAGTATATAGCTTATGGATTATGGAAGACTTTGATTTTGAACTTACTTCAGAATCAGTAGGAAAGTTAAGTTTCTGTGTTTATGCAAAAGCAGGTATTTTTTAAAAGTCTGTTAGCAGTGTCTGAGTATTTAAAGGAAGGAAAAACCATTAAATGAGAAATTTCATAGTAATACATAGTGTACAACCATGAGGTTGTTGTACAATATACATATACAACTAGGAATGGTGGAAAAGGAGAGAATCTAAAAAATTATTATAAAGGAAGAACCAGATAAGCTGGTGGTTCACTGGATGTAGAGGGAGAGAAGCTATATATACTCAAACTTTCATCCACTGTTCAGAAGCCCTTTCCCTTATTTCTCTGGGCTGAACAGGATTCAGTCAACACCCAGCTCATAAATTACTTCCTTTGAATAGCCTTCACTATATATCTTACTCTGCAGAGTTAATTTTGAAATCTTTTGTGCTCGTAAATGTTGATTATATAATTAGCATTGGTAATTTATAAGCCCTGATCATGCCTTCATTAAAGATTTTAAAATGGGATGACTAGAACAGTGGTAATGACAAAAGTAAATAAGAAAGTTCAGAGAAGGATTTATTTTTGAGGGAAAATTATTTGCTTTTAGATTATATAGCAGTTGGAATGTCTCATGTCTGCCTACATGACTCAGGAGTAAGGTTTGGAATACTGCTTTCTTTCCCTTGGCTTCACTCTCAACTCTGGGGAGTCCTCAGATAATACATAATAATATGTATCCATGTTTCAGATAGATTAGCCTAGGTGCCATAGGCTTAAAATAGCATAAGGTAATTTAGTTGGTATAAACATGTACTATCTCTTCAGATAAAACTGGGTTCCATCTTGGTGTTTTTATTGTTGCTATTTTACTATGCAACTGTGACTTTTCTGAGTTTGTTTCTTCATCAGTAAAAGGAATGTCATAGTGTCACTTCGGATTTCTTGGTGGAGTCAAGTGTTAAATGAGAAGGATTTATTTTTGAGGAAAAATTATTTGTTTAAACCTTTATAAGGTAGCTTAGCACATGATTGGTGATTGTGATGCATGTAAATTTGTACAGAATGCTTCATCTATCCCCCACAACCTTAGCAAAACCAACTATTTTATTCTTAGTAAATGTTATGTTTATATAAACTTGTTTGTTGAACATGTTGTTTTGAGAAAAAAATTGTTAAGGTAGAAAAACATAATTTTAACCTGAAAAGCAAGAAGTTGCTTGTATTTGAAAAAAGGATGGAAGCATGGATACCATCTATTGCTAGTTTTAGCATAAAAGCCTGGAGATCATCAGTTCTTTGTATCTCGCCTGGAGAATGAATCATCTGCAACCACAAACCTTAGGTGATTCCAGCAACCTTATGTGAACTGGAGGAAGAGAATTCTGCTGAATAGAGGCCACTACTGGCATCAACAGCTGCTGAGGCAGTAAGAGAATGACCGCTGTCCTGATAATATCATGTTATCCTTAAACCTCCCCAGCCCCAATTAGCTCACTCTCTTGTTAAACCTATTGAGGGAAAATGAATTTAAGTGTTTATTGGTCAAGTGTATGTATGAAAAGTATTTTTTCTTTGTATTGATTACCCTCTGGCATCCTGAAACAATAGGTTTTACACTAGCCTTGAGTTAATACTGAGAACAAAACAGAAATGAGAAAGTAATTGTTTCTTCCTATATAGGACTTATATATCCTAAGCCAGGGTGTCAGGGTGTTCATCCAGAAACAGATGAAAGCACAATTCTGTTTACAATTGCCCTAAATCAAGTGCCCCCCCTTTCATCTAAAACCCCTCAAAGACCTGCTTTTTTTTTTTTTTCTTTCCTTGAGGCAAGCTGACCGGCAGAGCCTCTTCCTCCCTTGGTGCACTCTGGTTTCCCATTGAAATATCAAAGCCTAAGCGTAGACTCTGACTACTCTTGGTATCTAAGGGGCTAGTTTGAATAAAATATAAGTGCTTCTGTCCTTCTTTCTTTAAATATTTGTTCAAATTGTGGTTGGAATTCTCTTCTAGTTCATACAGCCTTCCATCAGGGACTTCGTTCTTAATGCTCTCACCAATTCCTTAGTCCTTGGCAGTCAGCACGGACTTCTGTAGCAACTTATTTTTACCACAGAAGGCAGGATTTCATCAAAGAGGTCAGTATAGCATCATAGGAATTCAGGCTGTAGTAGATTCAGACCTGGGTTCAAGTGTCACTCTTATCACCTTGGGGAAAGTATTTAACCTCTCTAAGCCTCTGCTTCCTTATCTACAAAGTGGAAACACTAGTATTTACCTTGGCTTGGCTGTGAGTATTAAGTTTGGTTATGAATGTAAAATGCTCAGCACACTGCATAGAACATTTTAAACATCTACTAAATCTTACCTGTTATGAGGATAAAAGAGTGTAAACAAAAGGAGCTGGGAGAGAGGAGAGGGATACTTAAAGGTAACTCTTATTTTATAATTTAGCCTATGGTAGATCCTATTTACCCTCCAATATGAGTGAACAAATAAAAATTATGGTTGAAGATGTTACAAGGGAAGAGACTAAACTATCAGTCAAAATATTTAGTGATTACTATGGCCAGTGAAAGTGTTAGTTGCTCAGTTGTGTCCAACTTTGTGACCCCCATGGACTATAGCCCACCAGGCTCCTCCATCCATGGAATTCTCCAGGCAGGAATACTAAAGTGGGCTGCCATACCCTTCTCCAGGAGATCTTCCCAACCCAGGGATCAAACCCAGGTCTTCCAAATTGCAGGCAGATTCTTTACCATCTGATCAGGGAAGGGAACAATGACAGGCATGACCCCTACCTTCAAGAGTCTTAAGAGATTAGTTTTTCTTTTAGTAAAACTTCAGTAGCTGAGTGGTAAAAATAAATAGGTGAAATTCTGAAATAATGTGGGTCTCATTATAGTCTTAGAGGCATAAAAAATTACCAGTCCTATCTTCAGATGGGTGAAAATCTGGGACAAAGGTACTATAAGAAGTAAAAAGGATCATTGCTGGTAGAATATTATTCTGGTTCTGTTTCAAACTGGGAAATGTCAGAGAAAAACAACCTTTCTAAATATAATTTAAATGGAAATTATAATGTGGTTGACTCAATGTATTTCCAGTTCAGTTCAGTTCAGTTGCTCAGTCGTGTCCGACTCTTTGCAACCCCAATGAACCACAGCATGCCAGGCCTCCCTGTCCATCACCAACTCCCAGAGTTTATCCAAACTCATGTCCATTGAATCAGTGATGCCATCTAACCATCTTATCCTCTGTCGTCCCCTTCTGCTCCTGCCCTCAATCTTACCTAGCATCAGGATCTTTTAGAATGAGTCAGCTCTTTGCATCAGGTGGCCAAGTACTGGAGTTTCAGCTTCAACATCAGTTCTTGCAATGAACACCCAGGACTGATCTCCTTTAGGATGGACTGGTTGGATCTCCTTGCAGTCCAAGTGACTCTCAAGAGTCTCCTCCAACACTGCAGTTCAAAACACATCAATTCTTCTGCGCTCAGCTTTCTTTATAGTCCAACTCTCACATCCATACATAACTACTGGAAAAACCATAGCTTTGACTAGACGGACCTTTGTTGGCAAAGTAGTATCTCTGCTTTTTAATATGCTGTCTAGGTTGGTTATAACTTTCCTTTCAAGGAGTAAGCGGCTTTTAATTTCATGGCTGCAATCACCATCTGCAGTGATTTTGGAGCCCCCCAAAATAAAGTAAGCTACTGTTTCCACTGTTTCCCCATCTATTTCCCATGAAGTGATGGGACAAGATGCCATGATCTTAGTTTTCTGAATACTGAGCATTAAGTCAACTTTTTCACTCTCCTCTTTCACTTTCATCTAAAAGCTCTTTAGTTCTTTGCTTTCTGTCATAAGGGTGGTATCATCTGCATATCTGAGTTTATTGATATTTCTCCTGGCAATCTTGATTCCAGCTTGTGCTTCAGCCAGCCCAGCGTTTCTCATAATTTACTCTGCATATAAGTTAAATAAGCAGGGTGACAGTATACAGCCTTGACGTACTCCTTTTTCTATTTAGAACCAGTCTGTTGTTCCATGTCCAGTTCTAACTGTTGCTTCCTGACCTGCATACAGGTTTCTCAAGAGGCAGGTCAGGTGGTCTGGTATTCCCATCTCTTTCAGAATTTTCCACAGTTTATTGTGATCCACACAGTCAAAGAATTTGGCATAGTCAACAAAGCAGAAATAGATGTTTTTCTGGAACTTTCTTGCTTTTTCAATGATCCAGCAGATGTTGGCAATTTGATCTCTGGTTCCTCTGCCTTTCCTAAAACCAGTTTGAACGTCTGGAAGTTCACAGTTTACATATGTTGAAGCCTGGGTCGGAGAATTTTGAGCCTTACTTTACTAGCATGTGAGATGAGTGCAATTGTGCAGTAGTTTGAGCATTCTTTACCATTGCCTTTCTTTTGGATTGGAATGCACACTGACCTTTTCCAGTCCTGTGGCCACTGCTGAGTTTTCCAAATTTGCTGGCATATTGAGTGCAGCACTTTCACAGCATCATCTTTTCAGATTTCAAATAGCTCAACTGGAATTCCATCACCTCCACTAGCTTTGTTCATAGTGATCCTTCCTACGGCCCACTTGACTTCACATTCCAGGATGTCTGGCTCTAGGTGAGTGATCACACCATCATGGTTATCTGGGTCATGAAGATCTTTTTTGTATAGTTCTTCTGTGTATCCTTGCCACCTCTTCTTAATATCTTCTGCTTCTGTTAGGTCCATACCATTTCTGTCCTTTATTGAGCCCATCTTTGCATGAAATGTTCCCTATCTAATTTTCTTGAAGAGATCTCTAGTCTTTCCCATTCTATTGTTTCCCTCTATTTCTTTGCATTGATCACTGAGGAAGACTTTCTTATCTCTCCTTGCTATTCTTTGGAACTCTGCATTCAAATGGGAATATCTTTCCATTTCTCCTTTGCTTTTTGCTTCTCTTTTCACAGCTATTTGTAAGGCCTCCTCAGGCAGCCATTTTGCTTTTTTGCATTTCTTTTTCTTGGGGATGGTCTTGATCCCTGTCTCCTATACAGTGTCACAAACCTCCGACCATCATTCATCAGGCACTCTATCAGATCTAGTCCCTTAAATCTATTTCTCACCTCCACTGTATAATCATAAGGGATTTGATTTAGGTCATACCTGAATGGTCCAGTTCACAGACTGCCAATAAATATCTGTATAATCAATGGTATGGTCTTCCCAGTGGTCACATATGGTTGTGAGAGCTGGACCATAAAGAAGGCAGAATACCAAAGAATTGATGCCTTCGAACTGTGGTGCTAGAGAAGAGTCCTGAAAGTCCCTTGGACAGCAAGGAGATCAAACCAGTCAATCTTAAGGGAAATCAACTGTGAATACTTGTTGAAAGGACTGATGCTGAAGCTGAATCTCCAGTATTTTGGTCATGTGATGTGAATGGCTGATGTGAATGTCACTGGAAAAGTCCCTGATGCTGGGAAAGACTAAGGGCAGAAGAAGAAGGTGTCAGAGGATGAGATGTGGATGGTATCACCGATACAATGGACATGAACTTGGGCAAGCTTCAGGAGATGGTGAGAGACAGGGAGGCCTGGTGTGATGCAGTCCATGGGGTATGAGTCAGACATGACTGGGCAACTGAACAACAATAACCATTGTTCAAAAACATGTAAATCACCCCAAAGAAATATGCAAATAAATTGTGGTAATTATACCATGTCATGACTAAACAGGTTTTCAAAGACTAATGACAAATGGGAAGTGTTTTAAGATAAGTGAAAAAAAACAAACATGGAAAAAACAGAAAATAGAAACAGAAAAGTATATAGTATTACAAAACAATATTAATACAGTGAGATATTGGCATAAAAACACACATACATAGATCAATGGAATAGAATGGAGAGCACAGAAATAAACCCACACATATGGTTAATTTATGACAAAGGAGCCAAAAACACACTGGGAAAAGATAGTCTCATCAATAAATGGTGTTGGAAAAACTGGATAGCCACATGTAAAAGAGTTTAAAGCTAGACCAGTATCTTAAACCATGCACAAAAATAAATGGATTTAAGACTTGAAACCACAAAACACCTAGAAGAAACAGAGGGTAAGGCCCTTGAAATTGGTTTTGACAATTGCTTTTTGGATTTTATACCAAAAGCAAAGGCAACAAAAGCAAAAATAAAGAGTGGAATAACATCAAACTAAAAAGCTCTCTATGGTATAGGAAACCATCAACAAATGAAAAGGCAACCTACAAAATGGGAGAAAATATTTGCAAATCTTATATCTGATAAAGGTTAATATCCAAAATATATAATGAACTCATAAAACTCAACAGAAAAAAAATCCAATCAAAAGATGGGCAGAGGAAATGAACAGACATTTTTCCAAAGAAGACATACAAATGGCCAACAGGTACATGAAAAGGTGTTCAACATCACTAATTAGCAGGGAAATGCAAATTAAATACACAATGATCTAACATCTCACACCTGTTAGAATGGCAGCTAACAAGAAATAAGTTTTGGTAGGGATGTGGAGAAAAGGGAACCCTTGTGCACTGTTGGATGCAGTCACTATGAAAAACAGTATACAGGTTCCTCAAAAAATTAAACATAGAACCACCATATGATCCAGCAATTCCACCTCTGGGTATTATCTGAAGGAAACAACTATCTTGAAAAGACACCTGCATCTCCATGTTCATTGCAGCATCATTATTTGCAATAGTCAAGAAATGGAATGGAAACAACTGAATTGTCCATCAACACATGAATGGATAAAGAAAATAAAATGAGAATATTTTAACACACACACACACATACCCCTCTTTAAAAGAAGGATATCTACCATTTGTGACAACATGGATGGACCTTAAAGGCACTGTGCTAAGTGAAATAAATGAGATAGTCAAAGGCAAATACTGTGTGATATCCCTTATATGTGGAATCAAAAGAAAGCCAAACTCATAGATACCCCACTAGATGATGGTTGCCAGAAGTGGTGAGGAAAGGGGCAATGGGTGAAAGTAGTGGAAAGTATAAATTTCCAGTAATAAGATAAATGACAGTGTCTTCTTGGCCCCTAGCTGACTGGGCCCCTTTTCCTGCAGTGCTCCTGAGTCTGATATGGTGGGACAACTCACCCCCACCATGGGAATGAGCTCATGGTAGTTTTGCCAAGAGAATGCACTGGTCATAGCAAACACCCTCTTCCAAGAACACAAGAGAAGACTCTACACATGGACATCACCAGATGGTCAACGCCGAAATCAGATTGATTATATTCTTTGCAGACAAAGGTGGAGAAGCACTATACAGTCAGCAAAAACAAGACCGGGAGCTGACTGTGGCTCAGATTATGAATTCCTTATTGCCAAATTCAGGCTTAAATTGAAGAAAGTAGGGAAAACCACTAGACCATTCAGGTATGACCTAAATCAAGTCCCTTATGATTATACAGTGGAAGTGAGAAATAGATTTAAGGGACTAGATCTGCTAGACAAGAGTGCCTGATGAATGATGGTCGGAGGTTCATGACATTGTACAGGAGACAGGAATCAAGGCCATCCCCAAGAAAAAGAAATGCAAAAAAGCAAAATGGTTGTCTGAGGAGGCCTTACAAATAGTTGTGAAAAGAAGAGAAGCAAAAAGGAAAGATATTCCCATTTGAATGCAGAGTTCCAAAGAATAGCAAGGAGAGATAAGAAAGTCTTCCTCAGTGATCAATGCAAAGAAATAGAGGAAAACAACAGAATGGGAAAGACTAGAGATCTCTTCAAGAAAATTAGAGATACCAAGGGAACATTTTCCTGCCTCTTGAGAAACCTGTATGCAGGTCAGGAAGCAACAGTTAGAACTGGACATGGAACAACAGACTGGTTCTAAATAGAAAAAGGAGTACGTCAAGGCTGTATACTGTCACCCTGCTTATTTAACTTATATGCAGAGTAAATTATGAGAAACGCTGGGCTGGCTGAAGCACAAGCTGGAATCAAGATTGCCAGGAGAAATATCAATAAACTCAGATATGCAGATGATACCACCCTTATGACAGAAAGCGAAGAAGAACTAAAGAGTCTCTTGATGAAAGTGAAAGAGGAGAGTGAAAAAGTTGACTTAAAGCTCAGTATTCAGAAAACGAAGATCATGGCATCTGGCCCCATCAGCTCATGGGAAATAGATGGGGAGACAGTGGAAACAGTAGCTTACTTTATTTTGGGGGGCTCCAAAATCACTGCAGATGGTGACTGCAGCCATGAAATTAAAAGCCACTTCCTCCTTGGAAGGAAAGCTATAACCAACCTAGACAGCATATTAAAAAGCAGAGATATTACTTTGTCAACAAAGGTCCATCTAGTCAAGGCTATGGTTTTTCCAGTAGTCATTTATGGGTGTGAGAGTTGGACTGTAAAGTAAGCTGAGCGCTGAAGAATTGATGCTTTTGAACTGTGCTGTTAGAGAAGACTTCTGAGAGTCCCTTGGACTGCAAGGAGATCCAACCAGTCCATCGTAAAGGAAATCAGTGCTGAAAATTCATTGCAAGGACTGATGTTGAAGCTGAAACTCCAGTACTTTGGCCACTTGATGCAAAGAACTGACTCATTCTAAAAGACCCTGATGCTGGGAAAGATTGAGGGCAGGAGAAGGGGACGACAGAGGATAAGATGGTTGGATGGCATCACTGACTCAATGGACCTGAGTTTGAGTAAGCTCCGGGAGTTGGTGATGGACAGGGAGGCCTGGAGTGCTGCAGTCCATGGGGTCGCAACGAGTCGGACACGACTGAGCGACTGAAGTGACTGCTTAGTAAGATAAATAAGGCCTGGGGATATAATATACAGCACAGTGACTATAGTTAACAAGATCCTATATTTGAGAGTTGCTAAGAGAGTTGCTAAGAAAACCCTAAAAGTTTTCATTACAAGAAAAAAAACAAAAACAAACTATGTGTGGTGATGGATGTTAACTAAAATTGTGTTAATCATTTTGCAACATCTATTAAATCATTATGTCACCCACCTAAAACTAATACAATGTTACATGTTACTTTTATTCCATTAAAAGTGTGTAAAAGAAACCAGTAGTTACTCACTGATAAAGCTGGATGGTGAGATTAGAAGTAAATTTATTTTCTTCTTAAAACTTGCTTTGAATAAAATAAACACTTCAAAGAAAATGGTTCAGGTTTTAATTTAACAAGTCACGTTAAAAATCTCTTAGTTTAGGTAAGCTACTACAAAACAGATACCAAAATAAAAAGTAGCAACTGAAAGGGGGAAAATTTTCAAAACTAATTTAACTCATATTGTTATAGTATAAAATTATTACGTACCACTGCCTACAAGGACTACAGGTCAATAGATAACTTCGATTCATTACTAAGGCGCATAGATCTGCCATATTGCTAAATCATACCTTGAGAATAGCTATAAGCTTGAGAAGTATCAACTATTTTGTCCATTGAGAATGAGTTGTGTGATTCCTGAGAATGTTTCTCCACCACTTCTACTGTATCACTGGATGAAGATGATGATGAAGACAATCCCAGTCTAACATATCTTCCTTTTTTACCACATAGTGAACAATCTACCGGTGTGGCACTAGGTCCCCGGGGCAGTTGAACTTCATCTCTGTTGTAGTTTCTAACAGCTCCACTGTGATGCACAGAGCGTTCTCGTTGCCATATATAATGGGTTGGAGCAATGGCCATAACCTATAGTGGAAAGCTTTCTTTTAGAATTTTTAATAAGATTTTAAAATTTAGTGAAAGAACAAAAATTATAACTTAAGAACAACTATCTCTATAACTAGATCTAAAAAAATGTTTTTTAAAAAAAGCATCTCCAGATAGGGCAGTATTACCTATAAAGTGATTCATTGCTTGGATTCTTAAGATAACAATTGGTAGAATATTTAAATTATTTCTAACAGGAAATAGAACTGAAGCAACTTTCCAGTTTTTGCTCAGATATTCTAGGTTTGGGAAAGAAAATGCCCCCCCAAATAATACATCATTCTTAACTTTGGAATGTATTGGGTTGAGAATATTTTTAATTGAGGTTTCCACCTATGTATGTTTATCTTAGCATGTCTGCAATAATAGCAAGAGATATGGTAAATGAGAACACAGGTAAGTTGCTTAACCTCTCTGTTCCTGTTTTCTTGTCTGTAGTATGGAGAGAAAAATACTATTTTAGCAGGTTGTTGCAAGTATTAGATGAGGAATCATTTAGAAAGTACTGAAGATTCTGCACTACATGTCAGACACTGTTCTCTAAGGTGTTAGATAAGATACTGCCTTTAGAGTCGGGATAGACTTAGTTTCTTATCCTGGCTCTGCCACTTGCTAGTTGTATGACGTTAGTTACTTAACCTTTAGGAGCCTCAATTTCTTCATATCTAAAACTTGGGATACTATCTGCCTCATAGGATTGTCCTGAAGGTTAAATATGTATAAAATCCATATCACACAGTAAACATCTGGCCAATGAAAGCAAATGACAGCCATTTAAGAAGACAAGCTAGGGAAGTGTACCTACCTGTTGACCTCATGGTGTCTAAAACTTCAAAACAGAATGTTAGAATGTTACTTCTAAACAAATAAAAATGTTTAGTTGCAGTTATCAATGGCCCAAGGTAAATTAGAAGCGTAGAATTTGACAGCTAGACAGTGCTTTTAAAAAATATTTAAGTTTCTGGCAAAACTATAATTCAAAAAGATAGACAGTGCTTTAATTGCCTAGTCAAGTGATTTTTCAGACTGGTTTGAGGAGCCCTTGGTTTTACAGACAACGCTGGGGATCCCAGGAGGGGCTAAGGCAAGACAGAGCAGCTTGGAGAACCTCAATTTGGGGGATTGTATAAAATTTTGTTTGGAAAAAAGCTTTTGTTGTTAAGAATGAAAACCCTAACAGTACCCCCCACCCCAGCCCCGGTTAAAGCCAAATCCCTCAGAAAATAGGGTTATTGCGGTTATTGTCTCACTTCAAGGCAATGAATAAAGAATACTAGCTATGCTAACTTTATGATCATTTCTTTTAAACTTTTTATTTTGTATTAGGGTATAGCCAGTGAACAATGGGATAGTTTTAGGTGAATAGCAAAGAGATTCAGCCATCCATATACGTGTATCCATTCTCCCCCAAAGTCCCCTTCCATCCACAGTGCCATATAACTTGAGCGGAGTTCCATGTAGCTATGCTAATTTTCAAAGTGTACTTTAGAATTGGATTTATTTTATAATCTACTTCTTAAATCCTTGAAAAAAGTTTTCAACCAAAGATATGTAATGAAAGTTATATATCTTTTAAAAGGCAGAAGTAAATAAAGATGTTAACTGCAAACATATATATTTCTATGATAATATAAAATTTGGTTAAGAAAGACCCAAGGTGAGGAAGTAAAATGTAAATTTTTCTTGTTCCTTCCAAATTTGTCTGTAATTTTTCCTCAGTATTCCTCTATTTCCCATATCTGGAATGGCCTTTCCCTTTATTCGTTTTAGCATTGCTTTTCCTTCAATGCCTGGCATAAATCCCACCTTTCTAGAAACTCCAGGTTTCAAATTTTATTTTATTGTTAATCCTGTATTAGGACTCAGCATATAAATGTTAATACTCAGATATACCTTTTTATGCATGTAACCCCTTCCAGACAGAAACAGCTTCTTGTACATCTCTCTCTCAAATGCCCTCTCCACAACTGTGAAAGTGAAAGTTGCTCAGTTGTGTCCGACTCTTTGTGACCCTATGGACTGTATACAGTTCATGGACTCCTCCAGGCCAGAATACTGGAGTGGGTAGCCAGCTCCCTTCTCCACAACAGTACACAGTCATTAAATATTTCTTAATGATAGATGAAAATAAGAAATTAAGAGGTCACTGACATTACTAGCCTTCAACAATATAACTTTTGTAGGAACCCTACAGCAAAGTCTAATGAAGAGAGCAGAGGGAACTATGAAGTAAAGGGAACTCTGAAGCAAAGGGCACAATATAGAAGATTTGGTACTTCTGCAATAAACTAGGCATCATAGTCTCTCCACATGCTAACCTAGAGAAGTGCATGCAAGTGCACTCTCTTTTAAATATATATGAGGTCTACATATATTTCGCACACACATTAGAATGTTACAGTGATAAAAACAGTGAATTAAAAAGAAAACTGTACCACAGTCAAAAAAGCAAAATTTTGGTCTTAATTCTATTTAGGTCCTATGACCTTAGGGAAATTGCATTAACTTTCTGAGCCACAAGGCCTTTTATATATGAGACAATAGGTCACTTAGAGTTATCAAACTCTACAATTCTATGAAAGTGACTTCTCTGAAGCATTGGTAGCACTTGACCTATCAGAAACATTATCCTAGTTTTTTTACTTCATCTCACTCTTCTGTTATTTTCAGTGATTTCTTGGTGGGGGATGGAGGTGGGCTTTGGTGAATTTTTAAAATTTAATATTTGGCTGTTTTCTCTCTATACATTCTACTTCTCTGTGATCTCAAGTGGCAGTATAAGGTGTTAAAAGCAATGACTCTCAAGTTAGACTGCCTAGGTTTGAATACTGGTGTGCTGCTTTTCTAATTGTGTGACCTTGGAGAAGTCATTTAGTCTCTCTGTGCCTGTTTCCTTATCTGGATTACCTAGTTAGCCGTAAGAATTGTGAGAGTTAATACATGTGCAGTACTGAGACCAGTGCTCAGACATTACTTTCATTGTGGATCTTTTATCTACTACCAAACTTTAAACATCTCTTAATGAAATGACAGATGTCAGAGAACACAGAACACTGGGAAACCATCAGATGTGAAGTCAAGCTCTGGTTCCGCCATTTAACTATGTATGATCTTGAGTAAATTTCAACCTCCGTAGTCCTCAGTTTCATCAGTTATAAAATGAGAATGCTACAATCCTCAAAAGTACTTTTATGAGGATAAGAAGCTAATTTATGTGAAAATATAAATTTGTAAAGCACAACGCAAATGTACAGTATAATTATTGTAAGCCAGTTTATAGCTAGTACTGTAACTTGCATTTATTTTAGGATATGTGACTAAAAAATGGGTTGGCAGTGTGCTAGTACTGGGCTCTTAATAACAAATGCATAGAACACTTAACTAAATTTCTTAGCATGTTTCCCCATGCCACCCCCCCCCCAACCCCGCCAAAATTATCTATCTGGGTATCTGAATAAGGGTCAGTGCTAAGGCTGCTCAGTAAAGAATTGTTCCACAGTCTTGTTTATTTTTAATTTTTTTATTGAAGTACAGTTGATTCACAATGTTTCAGGTGTACAGCAAAGTGATGCATTTGTATACTTTCTCAGATTATCTTCCATTATTGATTATCACAAGATTCTGAATGTAGTTTCCTTGTTATACAGTAGAGATCCTTGCTGTTGGTTTTCATGGATAAGAAAGTATGAAAAAGAAATGGAAGCTTTAAGTTCCATTATGTCAGTCAGTTGTATTTACTGAGTACCTACTACAAGTCAGGCACTGTTCTAGATACTGTACATGTAATAAGCACAAAATAAAGGCCCTCTTGGGGACTTCCCTGGCAGTCCAGTGATTAGGACACAGCACTTTCACTGCTGAGAGCTCAGGTTCAGTCCCTGGTTGAGGGAACTAAGATCCTGCAACCTGCACAATGAAGCCAAAAAAAAAAAAAAAGACCCTCTTGGAATTTATATTCTAGTAGGGGGAAATAGACATCAGCAAGATAAGTAAGTAAAATAGTGTTATACAATGGCTAAGTGTTGTGAGGAAAACCAGGAAAAGCAGTAGAGAATAATAGAGGGACATACTACTTGCTATTTTACCAGCTTTATTGAGATATAACTCAGATATCATACAATTCACTGGTTTAAAGTATAGAATTCAATGGCTTTTGATTTCTTCAGGGTAGCACAATGATTACCACAATCAATTTTAGTATTTTTTTTTTAAATTTTAGTACATTTTCATCACTTCATAGAGAAGGCAGTTACACTCCACTCCTCCCTCCCTTCAGCCTCAGGCAACCACTTTCTATGATTTTGGATTTATGTATTCTTCACAGTTGATATAAATGAACTATGTGGCTCTCTGAGGACTGGCTTCTTTCACTTGCATAAGGTTTTCAGCATTCATCCACTTTGTAGCATGTATTGATACTTTATTCCTTTTAATTGCCAAGTAATATATCATTGTATTGATATTTTGTCTATCCATTCATTAGCTGCTGGACATTTCAGTTGTTTTTACAACTACTGACTATTATGAATAAGGTTACTTGCTATAAACATTCATGTAGAAGTTTTCAAAAAATGTCTATTTATTTTTGCTGTGCTGAGTCTTAACTGCTATACTTTCTCTAGTTGCAGCGAGCAGAAGCTACTCTCCAGTTGTGGAGCATGGGCTCCTCACTGTGGTGGCTTCTGTCGCAGTGCACAGGCTCTAAGGGCACGTGGGCTTCAACAGATGCTGCTCCTGGGCTGCAGAGGGAAAGCTCAGTAGTTGTGGCACACGAACTTGGTTGCTCCATGGCATGTGGGATCTTCCTGGACCAGGGATCAAACTGGTATCCCTTACACTGTAAGGTGGATTCTTAACCACTGGACCACCAGGAAAGCCCCATGTACAAGTTTTTGTGTGAACATAATTTTCATTTCTTTAGAGTATAAAACTAAGAGTGGAATTGCTGGGTCATATGGTCTCTGTTTAGCTTTTTGAGGAAGTGCCAGACTGTTTTCCAAAGCACCTAAATGATTTTTACATTTCCATCAGAAGTCAGAGTTCCAATTTCTCCACATCCTTGCAATATTTATTATCAGTCTTTTTTTTTTTAAATTATAGCCTTCCTAGTGCATGTAATGAAATATCTCCTTGATTTTGATTTTACATTTTTCTGATGGCTGTTGAGCATCTATTCATGTGCTTTTTTGCCCATCTGAATATCTTTTTTGAAGAAATGTGTATTAAGATCCTTTGCCTTTAGAAAATTGGGTTGTCTATTTTTGAGTTTTAAGAGCTGCTTATATATTTTAGATACAAGTACCTTATAAGATAGATGATTTGCAAAGATTTTCTTCCAGTTTCTGGGCTGTCTCTTCACTTTCTTAATGGTGCCCTTTGAAGAACAAAATTTTTAAATTTTGATGATGCTCATTTTTTTAATCTGTATTTTCTATTCTTGCTTGTGCTTCTGGTTATTACATCTAAGAAACCTAATCCAAGGTCATGAAGATTTAACATCTATGTTTTAAGAATTTTATAGTTTTTAGCTCTTAAATATACGTCTTTGATCCATTTGAGTTAGTTTTTATATATATAATATGAAGCAGGGTTCCAGGTGCTTTCTTTTGCATGTGGATATCCAGTTGCTTCAGTACAATTTGTTGAAAAGATTATTCTTGCTCCACTGAGTTTTATTGGTACCCTTGCCAAGAAACATAGATTTCTGGACTCTTCAATTTTTATTCCATTAAGGGAGATACTATGGAATATAGGGTGGTAAGGAATGATTTTTCCGAGGCGACACTTGGCGGAGTCCTGCATGAAGTGAGGAAGTGAAGCATACTAACTAATATCTGTGGGAAAGCATTCCAGATAATAGGAGTGGCAAGTGCAAAGACTCCAACGTGGGAGCGTCCTTGATGAATCTGAGGAATAGCTAGAAGGCCAGTGTGGTTAAAGTGAAGTGAACAAGGCTGGGAGATAAAGTCAACGAAATAAAGGAGGAGAGCTGGCAGACCATGTGGAGCAAGATAAGGATGTTGACTTTTACTCTGTGAGATGAGAAACCTCTGAAGGTTTTTGAGTAGAGGAGATATGATTTTATTTCCTAAAAGATTTACTCTGGCTGCTGTGAAGAATAAACTATAGGTGAGAAAGACTGTGAGGGAGTCTATTTGGAGAATTATGGAAATAGTTGAGGCAAGAGATGACAATCAAAGTAGGGTTTAGTGGTGGAGAAGGTGAGAAATGGTAGGATGCTGGATATTTCTTTTAAGGTATAGATACGAAAAAAAAAGCCTAGGGTGACAGTTTTTGGCCAGCAACTAGAATGATGAAGTTACTGTTTATTGACATGTGGAAGACTATAGGAGGGGCAAGTGTGGAGGTCTGTGTGGGAGAATCAAAAACTCAAATTTTCAGCAAGTTAAGCCTGAGGTATCTACTAGATAATCAAATATGAAGTAGGAAATTAGACATGCCAATCTGGAATTAGGGGAGAGCTCTGATAGTTCTCAGTGCTGAAGCCTCAAGAGACAGAACTTTTCTGAAAATCCGACTGACATTTTCAGTGTCAGTGAAATGAGTGAAAAAGTCAATGAAAAATCAGTGAAAAAAAAAGTCATTATAAAATCTGACTTTTCAGATGTCTAAAACATTATAGTCTTATAAGCCACATCATTCTCTTAACAGTCTGGTGCCAGCAACCAAGGTAATTCCAGCTCCAATAGAATAAAACTGTTGCAGTTAAAATGTGAGTCATTGTAACTTAGGAGTGGTGGGCAGTCTACCAGGAGGAAGCATTGCCTATCCTGACCTCTTGCCTCCAGTGCCTCCTCCATGCACTTGGCTGAGTGTTCCATGGAGCTTGAAGCATTTACTTTGATAAAATCAGTGTTCAAATAAGGGCACTATCATACCAAGGATGGCAGCAGGTGCACAAATTACCCACTCCTGACCTGGGAAGGCAGTGACAAAAAAATAACAAGACAGGAATTTTTCAATGCCCTGTAATTGGAATGAGTCCTTTAAATTCATTAATGAGGACCCACTAATGGAAGGGAGGTAGTCATACATACTCATCCTTTCATATTTTTCTACTGAATATAATCATGTGCTGTACAGTCTTCTAAGTTATTTCTGAATCTTTGCATTTCTCCCAATATTCAACAATTATAATTTAATCCAAAACCATGTATAACTTCTATAACTTCATCTCATTAATAAATATAATTAACAAGATTAGTTCTGGACAGAGTTCTGTGACACACCTCTAAAGTCTTCCCTCAGGTTGGACACTAATCCATTAATTGGCTTCTCTGGCCTGTAGTCATTAAACTAGATATGACTTCATTTAATTACAGCATTATCTCCCCAAATTTTCTGAACTAGTTCTGGCTTACAGTGATCACTGCCTTCCATTAATTTTCTACTCCAATATTTTTAGTTTGAAACATTAACTTTCTTTACTGAAAACCAGAACATCAGATAAAATAACTCATCTTTTAATTTAGTGTCTGCTTTACATTAAGAGAATCTGTCATCAAGGAAACTTACTTTATGTACGCGATATATGAAAAGAAGTATAGTTTTTAAGCTTATTTAAATTTATTTAAATTTTAATACCACACTATATTTCAACCTCGTGAATGTGAAATTTTGATACTTTAGTGGAAATTATTTAATGGAAATTATTATTCAGCTCCAATGTTATTACCCTGAGGTACTTTGGAATGTGCACACCATTTCTTCCTAATATATTCATGATTTTTTAGAGAAGAGAAACGCACTAAAATAAAAATACTTTCTATGGAAGTAGGCTGTTCATAAAAAAAGAAATGACAATTTTTAATTATTGTGCTATAAATTTAAAATATCAACATTTTAATATACAAGTTGTACTCATGGTAATCATCAAGGTTAACAGTTTACCCTTCATTTACAAAAAATGAAGCATTAGAAGCACATTAAAAAATAAGACAGGGAAAATTACATAAAGAGAAGACAGAGATTACATATATAAAGCATTTAAAAATCTTACCTCCTCACAGCATCGCCTGCTTACAATAGCCCTATAGTCAATTCTATCCCAGAGTTGGTCCCTTAACTTTAAGAAGTCAGGGAATAATTTTCTCCAGTTTTTCCCTAAAGCCCATGGAAAAATTTCATATTTGGATTCTTCTTCATCTTCTTCAACTGTATTAGCGAGATACCTAAAAAAAAAAGACCAACAACTCAAAAAAGAAATGGGTAAAGGACAGGAAGAGAGTTTACGCATATACAAAAACCCAGCTTGTTTATAAACACAATAAAAGATGTTCAAGCCTTATGAATGATTAAAGAAATGTATATCAAAAATAGAGATACAATGAATTTTACATTGTTGAGTTCTGGATATTTTTATATTCCTGTAAATTTTGAGCTTTGTTCTAGGATGCAGTTATTTGAAACAGTCTGATCCTTTTGTTTTGATTTCATGATTTGTTAGATGGATCTGGAGCAATGTTCAGTTTGGGGCTACTTACTCCCCACTAGGGCAAGATGTTTCCAAGTACTCTACCCAGTACTGAATTATTCAGTGTGAACTGGAAGTTTTTTCAGTCTGGTGTGAGAACAGGTACTATTTGAGCTGCGGGTGAATGTTAGGCACTGTGTTCCCTCTAACCTTTTCTTATGGTCTTTCTCTACACTCAAATACCTGAGGGGGACTAGGCATGCACAAAAGTAGGAAAACAGGACAGATAAGAAGAAGAATCATTAGCCAATCAAAACTAATATATGGTAGAAGTAATAGACAAAGACACTAAAACAGTTACAATTACTCTAGATGTTCAGAAAGACAAGTAGACACATTGAAAGTATACCTCTAGAGATGAAAATTTTGTGTACAATGAAAATTACACTGAGTGAGGGTAAGAGCAGATTAAATGTCACAGAAGGAAAGATTTGTGCACTGAAGACATAGCAATATAAACTATCCAAAATGAGACACACTGAGAAAACGAAACAAAAATAATGAACAGAGCATCAATAAGCTGTGAGACAACTTCAAGCAGCTTAATATAGGTGAAATTGGAATCCCTAAAGGGTGGTGGGTGGACAGAAAAAACACCTGAAGAAATAATTACTGAAAATTTTTGAAATTTGATGAAAACTATAAACCCACAAAGAAGCTGAATAAACTCCAAAGCACAAAACATATGGAAAATTACACCAAAGCATATCATAATTAATTGCTTAGGGCCAGTGATATAGAGAAAATCTTAAAAGCAGTCAGAGAGAAAAACAGACACATTAAATTATACAGGAATAGAGATAAGGATGAAGCAGATTTCTTACTGGAAACAATGCAAGCTCCATAGATGATTTTCTAAGGAAAAAAAAGGCAACTTGTAATAAAAAGATTTACAAAACATATAAGGGAACAAGGCAAAATGAACAGAAACAGGCTGTGAAGTATGAAGATATTGGAATTAAAAGACAAACACCCAATAAACAGGGGCCTTAAAAGCAAACAGAAAGGTAGGCAAATGATCCCAAGTGGAAGGTTTGAGATGCAAGAAGTAACAGTAATCAAAGATATATAAATATGTGGGCAAATCTAAACAAATGTTGAATTTATAAAACAACAATAATAGTGTCTGAGTTTTTAGAGAGCATCATGTAGAACTAATGGAATTGTAAGATAACAGAATAGAAGTTGGGCCTTGTAATTAAAAATACCTAGCGTAATTGCTCAAAGAATAGGTGTAGAATATAAGATTTCCAAAGAAATAGAGGAAAAAAAGGTGTCAAAGGTAAAAATTTTTAAATCTCAATTAAAAAAAAGATAAAAGTGGAGGGGAAAGAAGAAACAGGAAAAAAAAAAAGGAAAATTTACAAAGTACACAACAAGATGGTGGGGAAAAATGCAAATATATAAGACACAAGAGTATTTTTTCCTGTAGTGAAAGTGAACTACAGCCACACATATCAATAGAAATCAGTCTCAAAATAATATCATAAAGCAAAAGAAGGAATTTACAGAAGACACATACATATAATTTTTATTGTACTGCCCCAAAATAGGAATAACCAAATAATATATTATTTAGAGGTATATACATAGAATAAAGGAAAGCAAAAAAACGATTACTTGTGGAAGGAAGAGGCTCTAATTGGGAAACTGTGTACTGTGAGCTTCTAAGATTCTGGTAATGTTCTATACTTAAGTAAGGGGTACATGAATGTTTGTTTTGCTTTTATTCTTTCACACACACATACATATACACTCCAATCACTCTTCTGTAGGTATTTCACATTAAAAAATTTTAAAAGCATACATACAAGTGTGAGTACATTTCTATTCATGTAACATACACACTGGTTCATATATAGAAAATTATTTCTAGACAGATACATATGAAACTGTTAATTATCCTTGAGAAGGGAGCTCAAGATCTTGAGATACGAGACTTATTTTTAATTGTATACCCTCCTATGTAGTCTTTTTAACCATGCACATATTCATATTTGTGTGGGTGTGTATGTGTGTCTCAGTTGTGTCCGACTCTTTGTGACTCCATGGACTGTAGCCCAGCAGGCCCCTCTGTCCATGGGATTTTCCAGGTAACAATACTGGAGTGGGTTGCCATGCCCTCCTCCAGGGGATCTTCCTGACCCAGGGATCGAACCCATGTCTCTTGCATCTCCTGCACTGGCAGGCAGGTTCTTTACCACTGAAAAGTACCTGAAAAGTACCCATTCATATTTAGTTACATTAATATGAGTACTTACATTTTTTTTTACTTACATATTTTTATTCTCCCTTAAAATAATTATATATTTTAACATTATTTTATATGCATATTATTAATATCATAAGGCACCTCATTGTTAAACTCACTCAGTTATTTGAGTCAAACTGTGTCCTTTGTGAAATTACATCAAGTAATTTCTCACTTTAGTATCCCTAATAGTTGTTAATAAACTGTAGATAGAGTTGGAAGAGGTTGGCCCCTTTCATGCTTGCTGATTTCTATGAAAAAATCTATAATGCACATATTGAGTGCCACACTCAGTATGCCAGCAAATTTAGAAAACTTAGCAGTGGCCACAGAACTGGAAAAGGTCAGTTTTCATTCCAATCCCAAAAAAAGGCAATGCCAAAGAATGTTCAAACTATCGCACAATTGCACTCATCTCACACGCTAGCACAGCAATGCTCAAAATTCTCCAAGCCAGGCTTCAACGGTAAGTGAATCTTGAACTTGCAGATGTTCAAGCTGGATTTAGAAAAGGCAGAGGACCAGAGGTCAAATTGCCAACATCTGTTGGATCACAGAAAAAGCAAGAGAGTTCCAGAAAAACATCTATGCCAAAGCCTTTGACTGTGGATCACAACAAACTGTGGAAAATTCTTAAAGAGATGGGAACACCAGACCACCTTACCTGCCTCCTGAGAAATCTGTATGCAGGTCAAGAAGCAAGTTAGAACCAGACATGGGACAATGGACTGGTTCCAAATTGGGAAAGGAGTATGTCAGGCTGTATATTGTTCACCCTGCTTATTTAACTTATATGCAGTGTACATCCTAAGAAATACCAACCTGGATGAAAACAAGCTGGGAGAAATATAAATAACCTCAGACATGCAGATGACACCACCCTTATGGCAGAAAGCAAAGAACTAAAGAATTTCTTGATGAAAATGAAAGAGGAGAATGAAAAACCTGGCTTAAAACTCAACATTCAAAAAACTAAAATCATGGCATCCAGTCCCATCACTTCATGGCAAATAGATGGGGAAACAATGGAAACAGTGACAGACTTTCTTTTCTTGGGCTCCAAAATCACTGCAGATGGTGACTACAGCCATGAGATTAAAAGATGCTTGCCCCTTGGAAGAAAAGCTATGCCAAACCTAGATAGCACGTTAAAAAGCAGAGACATTTCTTTACAAAGGTCTGTCTAGTCAAAGCTGTGGTTTTTCCAGTAGTCACGTATGTATGTGAGAGTTGGACTATAAAGAAAGCTGAGCACCAAAGAATTAATGCTTTTCAACTGTGGTGTTGGAGAAGACTCTTGAGAGTCCCTTGGACAGCAAGGAGATCCAACTAGTCAATCCTAAAGGAAATCAGTCCTGAATATTCATTGGAAGGACTGATGCTAAAGCTGAAACTCCCAATACTCTGGCCACCTCATGTGAAGAGTTGACTCAGTGGAAAAGACCCTGATTCTGGGAAAGATTGAGGACAGGAGAAGGGGACAACAGAGGATGAAATGGCTGGATGGCATCATCAACTCAATGGACATGATTCTGAGCAAGCTCCAGGAGTTGGTGATGGACAGGGAAGCCTGGCATGCTGAAGTCCATGGGGTTGCAGAGTTGGACACTTCTGAGCAACTAAACTGAACTGAAAACGCACTATTGTACGGAGGAACCTGGTAGGCTACAGTCCTTGGGGTCACAAAGAGTCAGACACGACTGAGTAACTTCAATTTCACTTTTCAATGTAGTATTAGGACCACATTATGGTTTCATTCTACATTAACAATTTTTCAGGCTCCATACAATGAAATGTCTATATCTTACACATATAAGTTGTCTTCTAATTTGAAATATATTTTTCTTGGAGCAGAGTCCATTTATTTTGCATAGGGTTAATTATGTTTATTCAAACAAAGAATTAAGAAATTCTATGTTAGCCATTGAGATATGCAAAAAAAGTAAGGTACACATTCCTTGCCTTTAAGGAGTTTATAGTCAAGTAGAAAAGGCAACCAAGTATGAAAAAAATACATAACTAAAAAAATAGAAAAATAATAGAAGTTCAGAGTGTTAAAAGAATATATAGAAAATAACTTGAACTGTGGCTGAGAAAATATTTAATGAGAACTACTGAGTTGGGTGGGCTTCCCCTATGGCTCAGATGGTGAAGAATCTGCCTGTAATGCAGGACACCTAGGTTTGATCCCTGGGTCAGGATGATCCCCTGGAGAAGGAAATGGCAACCCACTCCAGTATTCTTGCCTGGAAAATTCCATGGACAGAGAAGCCTGGCGGGCTACAGTTCATGGGACTGCAAAGAGTCAGACACAACTGAGCGACTATCACTTCACTTCACATTGAGTGGGGTTATATCAAAAGTACAATTAGATATAAAAATGGAAATTATGATTCATGTTACTTTTAATATGAAGCTTATAATACAACATGCAATAAAACCTGACATGCTACTACACAGTGTAAGCTAACAAAGTGCTATGCTGGTAATAATTTTACAAAACTGGTCAAATCCAATTTTGGGCATGTGGTAAGATTTAAATAAAGTTTCTTTTGGCTTGTTTTCAATTTTCAGGTGAGAAAAAAAACTACAAAATAGAGATATACAGATCAATATACAGATATAATACTAAGAGACACATTAACAGCAACACAGCTTAGTTTCAAATGGCTGGATTTGGCCATTGGCAAATCACACCTAAATCTGTGCCCCAGTTCTGCTGCTTACTAATTTTGTGACCTTGGAAAGCACTTAATCTTCCTAAGTTTCATTTTTCCTATCTGTAAAATGGAGATAATTTAAAAATATATCTCATAGGAAAATTAAATGAGTTTATAGAAAACATTTTTCTGGTGCCTAGCACATGATACTCAAACTAGCTAATGCTATTATGTTCCTTCAATTTAGCAATCATCATCAAGTTTTATACTGAGTTCATTTTTCCTCTGCATGGGGAAATCTATCTCCTGAAAACATGCAAAGATCAATTTCTTCTAGTCCTATTTCTTGAATTACATTCTGAATTAAGCAGACTTTAAATTCTTCATTGCTAATAGTTGCTGTGATATTTAATTTCAATGTTTATATGTAGCTCCTTAGGTACTTAAAATTATATTCATATTTTTCTAACTGTAGCTTTGTATCCAGGTACTGGGGTTTTGATACTGAGATTGTCTAGAGTATTTTCCACAAACTGTTCAACTTAAAAAGGCAATAGTTATAATGATTTTTACTAAATATTAAATTTCAAAGAGGATATTCTGGCTTTTAAAAAGTCTCTAAGTCCAAAAAAGGAAAATTTGGGGATAATTTATATGGAACACTATATAAAGTATGACAATGTGAAAGGTACAATACAAACTCAAGTGGAATATGAAATAATAAATCTTAGGCATAAGGTCAATGAAAAGAACATAAGAATATCCTATTAAAGTAAAAAAAAAATACAGCTTTTAAACAGGAAGGCCTATTCAAAGATATATACCAGGGTTTAAACAGCCTCTATTTTAAATAAGGTATTGTAGATATTGGGCTTCTCTGATAACTCAGTGGGTAAAGAACCTGCCTGCAATGCAGGAGACCCTGGTTCAATTCCTGGGTCAGGAAGATCCTCTGGACAAGGGAAAGGTTACCCACTCCAGTATTCTTGGGCTTCCTTGGTGGCTCGGCTGATGAGGCAACCGCCCACAATGCGGGAGACCTGGGTTGAAAATATCCCTTGGAGAAGGGAAAGGCTACCCACTCCAGTATTCTGGTCTGGAGAATTCCATGGACTGTATAGTCCATGGGGCCACAAAGAGTCAGACATGACTTATAAATAACTACCATAAAAACCACTTAGTAGAAAGCATACTTACAGAGCAATAAAGAAATTTATCCTGGTATGCTCATTTACAGTAAATTTAGCTCTCTTGAAATAAACAAAGGTCATAGCCAAAAGATACTATAGAGAAAAAAGTTAAAAGTTAAAATTAATGTTTTGCTTTCATAAGTAAAACTGCTTTAAACTAGCTGTCTTTATACGCTAAAACAACAAAGCATTATTTATCCTTATTACAGAAACACCTATTTGAGTCCTTATTTTTTGGCTTCCTTTAATCCATATGAACAGTGAGTAGTTCTGGATCACTTACGATTAAGTCATAATTGGAATCAACTCCTAAATTTTATTCTTGCCAATATTTTTTGAATCCCAAACTCATTTTTTTCCTATTATTCAAACATATAAAGAAGCTGAAATAATAATCAAGTGAATAACCATACATCCTTTACCAAGATTTATCAGTTGTCACTCTGTTGCCACACTGGCTTGATGTATGTGTATATGCAACTTTTCCCCCCTCAACTCTTCGAGTTAGTTGTAGACATCCATACTCAAAATAATTAAAAAAATAACTTCGAGCCAGAAATTAGAATCACATGGCTCTATTTTCACTGGGAAAAGTGTTTTAAATGTATTATTAGGAAGACATGTCTAGCCTGTTATTAGGACCCATGCCAGGTTCTGCCTGTTCAAGTTAAAAACAAGTTACAACACAAATATATTAGATTCCCTCTCATAAAATAGCTAATTCATCCTACCTTCAAAGGTTTGACCACAAAGGTGATTCCAAGTTTTTCAAGGTAACTTTCAGTAGAGGACTCGACACTAGTTTGTTAAAATACACTATTCCTGGTTAGTTACTTTAGAGGCACTGCCCCCTGCTGTCCAACAACTTTAATTACTGATAAGGCACTTAAAACTAAAATTTAAACTTTAGAAGTCCACATGAACTGGATATTTGATATTAAGGCATTACTGTTAATTTTTAAAGGTATTAGTGACACTGATTATGTTTAGAAATATCTCAATTTTTAGAAGTATGTCTTTAAATATTTATGGATAAAATGTTAGACTGTCTGGGACTTGCTTCAAAATAATCCAGTTTTGGGGAAAGAAATGAGAATAAGAACGGCCGTGAGTTGATGACTGTTTTAGCTGGAAGGTAGGTACACAGACGGTCTTTGTTCTATTGCCTCTACTATAATTTTAAACGTACTACTGCATGTTTGAAATTTTCTAAAATTAAAATTTCAAACTTTAAAAGAAAACCTCCAATTTTATTTTTGTTATCTTAAGCTTAAAAGAGTTTACATCAATATTAAATTAATGGGTATTTAATCATGAAGTAGTCTGTTCATTCCCTTTTCTGTTGGTTGGCACATGATCTTAAATGTGATATGAAGTCATGCTGCATTTTCTGATATGACGAACTGGTCTAAGATGACATTTATAAATTTAGAAAGATGGTAACGATAACCCTATATGTAAGACAGAAAAAGAGACACAGATGTATAGAACAGACTTTTGGACTCTATGGGAGAAGGCGAGGGTGGGATGATCTGAGAGAATAGCATTGAAACATATATATTATCAAGTGTGAAACAGATCGCCAGTCTAGGTTGTATGCATGAGACAAGCGCTCAGCTGGTACACTGGGATGACCCAGAGGGATGGGATGGGGAGGGAGGTGGGAGGGGGGGGTTCAGGATGGGGAACACATGTAAATCCATGGCTGATTCATGTCAATGTATGGCAAAAACCACTACAATACTGTAAAGTAATTAGCCCCTATTCTGATCAAAACATATTAAGCCTAATACAGCAAATATTTTATAATTATAAATGGAGTATAACTTTTAAATATTGTGAATCATACTGTACACCTGTATTGTACATCAACTGAACTTCAATTAAAAAAGTAATAAAAAGCAAAACCAAACCAAAACCACCCAACTAACCAAACAAAAAACATATTAAACATCATGTTTTAAATCAAGCAAATATGGGTTTAAAATCATATGAACCTAAATCAATAATATTTTACAATTCCTTGAGTATAGATGGAATGAATGTTAGTTGTATACTAATGTATAAGGATTCCATTTTGAAGGAGCAACGTTAAGTTAGTTCTTTTCTTAACGTTAATTAATGATAGAAAATCATTATAAGGTTCATTAAAGTCCTGACAGTCCAGTAACATAAAAATGCTAGTTAATGATTATACTGTTATCAAATTTACCTTGTCTGCAATTTTACAGCAGCAGTCCATCCACAAGAAATCCTGAATTAAATCATCATCTACAACAAAAGAAGGCTATGACTTGTCTTTTGAAAACAGGTTTCCTTTTGAAGAATTAATTTTTACATAAGGAGATTATAAACAATGTTTATAAATCAAACAAAATGGCTGGACTGGTATTGTCCAAAGTATAGTTTTTGGTTCTTTAGTGTGTTTACCAATGCAAGCACTGTACAGAAAACTACCACTTTATTTTTTGGCTTCCCATCTGATTTGCCTTAATATATAGCCCAGACTAGAGGGAGAATGCCAGAAGTGTTTGATTTACTGAATATTCCAGTAGCTCTTTTAGGAATGTTTTGGGTAGCTCTAGATGGGCTCTTTGTTAATTTCCAAAACAAATCTTTAACAGGTGGAAATGGAACCTGATAAAAGATAAGTCAGTCATTAAGAAATAATCACTCAATGAATACTCTGTTTTCTAAATAACTTTTACTTTTTTTTTTTAACCACTTTCTCCTTTTAGGTACAGGGTATTTTTAGTTTTGGGCTCTTTTTCTATCCTCCTATTTATCTCGCCTCTGTCCAATTAGCTATTATCCAAATACACATGAAAATGTCTATGTAAAGATTTAAAATTCATTAGTTATTTATAACTAACATTTAATTTTGGAAAGACAGTATTATGACAAAAAGATCAACACACAAAAGTAATGTTAAAAAGAATAACATCCAAAAAATAGCTAAGAAACACTCACTTCAAATAAAGGCTCAAATACATAATACCAAAATACATGTGTAGCTGTCAGAAAATAATTTGAAAAAAAATCCACTTTTTTCCATTTCCCCCTCCGTTTTTAGTTAAATAACTAAGTATAACTTTTTGTTATATCCTAGAAATATCATCAGCATAGTCAAATAAATGGAAAGTTCCAATATGTATCAATTTTCTGAGAATAATTAATCTCGGCCTTGTTAATTCCATTTCTATTTCTTAAATCACCTAAAATGGTAGAGCCATGTATTTTTCCTTATTTCCCACATTCAGTTATGAATAACAAAAAAGTTTGTGAGTAATAATTTTGCTCTACTCAATAAAGAGAAAGGGAACCCCCATCCCCCATTTTTTAAAGACTTCTGTCCTCTCAGCAGGGCAAATACTCTTGTCCCTAACTCTCTCTTCTTTTATGAATCTCCTTTCCTCCATAAGCAAAGAAGGTTGTTACCTGAATCTACTAGTCTGTGATAGCTACTTGATTTGATTCAGTCCCATAGATAAGTATCAGAATCTATCTATCCAACCCTTTATTCTGTCTACCTTACTACCTTACCTCAAAAAAAAAAAAAAGTCCTCTTTCTTGGGCCAGTAGAAATACTACAAAGTTTCTTTTTGGCTATTTTTAAGATTATCAGCAAAGTAGCACTATTTCATGATCTGAACAAAGTTCAATTTTATTATATGAGCATTATGATAAAGCATAGTTAATTTTTAATAATATTCCCCAGAGATTATACTTAAACTTCTCTAGGTTGACTAACCTTGCCAGACTGCTCAGTTTTAGCACTGAGTCCTGGGAAACCCCCCAGGCTCAGTGACACTGAGTCAGTTAGTTCACCTGAGCTGAGACTTTATGTGTATTTACTTTGGGTCAAACAAAACTCATGCTATGACCTTGAATTGCCCAGAATTTACATTTGACACTTGAATTAAGTAGTCTAGAAGCTAGATGAGTCAGAATTTCTACTCTAAAAGTAATAAAAACAAACAAAAATCTAGCACTGGGGGAAAAAAAAAAACCAGACTAAGGCAAAAAACAAATTTGGTTGGAGATAGAAAATCTGACACAGAAAATAACAGCATCCTTTTTGATTATCATGAAAATGATAAAACAGAACTTACATTATCTCACTTTTAAGTACTTTATAATTACCTCTATTACAATATTTTAAACCTACCAAATAATTTAAAGAAAGCAGTCATTTCCTGACGCTGTATAACTAGACAGGGTCCTTTGGGGCGTTTAGACTTGTTGCTATTATGTGCATTTTTTTCAGATGCTGGCCAACTATCTTTAAAAATAGGACGCTTCAGCGTAATGGGTTTTTTAGGCTGATGCAATCTATTTGACCCTGATTTTACATGTACAGTGACAGTAGGTGGTGTCTCACAACACAGCTGATTATGTCTCATTTTGGTTTCCCACGATTCCTGCAAAAATAAAACACATAGTTATTTATCACACTCTTGTTCATGTCAAGAAAAGCTATGTTTCATTTGGGTCTGGTATGCCTCTATTCCCAAATAATAAGATACTGCAAACTATTTTGCTTTGATTACTAGGGAACTAAAAACCAAATTTTAAAGTTAATTATAGAAACTGTGCTGAGTTTATAATCTATTTGTGGTATTCTTTTTTCCTGATAATTTTTATTCTGCTTGTATTGACATAATTTTATCATACAATTATTGTCATCTCAAATATTTTATAGAATAATGCAAACTGTTTTGAGAATTAAGTTATTATCAATATCATTATTATGTTAAAAAGCAATCTCACATACACACAAACATTTCCTAACTGGTTAATTCCTGGATATGTTATAAAACTCACTGGTTCAACAAGTGTTTATTGATACTTTTGAAAAGTTAAAAACAATTCTAGCAAAGAAATGCATGCATTGAGGGATTCTCATAAATTGATCACTTTAATTTCTAAAGTGGTGAGTGTATGACCATGCTATTTGTGTGGCTGATTACCAGTGTATATGAATGTAAACTGCTATAGTCTAATAAAAATTGAAAGTTAATCCATCAATATTTAATGATATGCATAATCACTATTATGTTTGATGGTAATTAGTTCACATAATTACTAGTATTACTTTTATGATCAAAGTATTTATAGGGTAATAGGAAATGGAATTATGAATAGCCAAAGCAGCAAACTACTTTTAAGATCCTAATGAGAATCTCTGAATCCATAACTCACAGCGACCCAGGCAGTCGTGCCTCCCTCGATGTTCAGTGAGTTAGGTACAGATTCTCCTTCCTGATCCTCAGAAACTTCCCTGCTAAAGGAAGGAATGGAAAATAAAATTGGATATAGTGAGGCTAGATCAGAATTGTCCAATATAAAGTGAGCCACATATATAACTTTGTATTTCTAAAGCCACATTTAAAAAGCACAAATAAGCAAGTCAATTTAATTTTACAAATATACTTTATGTAACTGAGTATATCCAAAATATAATTTTGGCATGTAATCAATATAAAAACTAATAAGACATTTTATATTCTTCTTTTATACTAAGTCTTTGAAATCTGGCGTGTATTATACTTCTATCTCAATTTTGAATGCTAAAATTTGCAACAATTAGTGAAATGTAGTCTTGCCAAAACAATCATCTGGAGGTAAGGGAAAAATATATTATATTCCTTCAATATTTAATTGTAAAGTAAAAATTCTTCAGTTGCACCTGCCACATTTCAACTGTTTAATAAGTACATATGGCTAGTAGTTACCCATATTAGACAGCACAGGGCTAGATTATGAAGAACTAGGCAGAGTAAATTATATTCAATTACTTTTATATATAATTCCTTCTCCTCTACTTTGCTTCCCTCCTCTCCACTCCTCTTTCTTCCTAGATCCTCATCTGTATCTTTTTTTTTCCCCCAAAGAAAGAGCAACCTTACAATCTAGATGGAAAAAACTAGTCATGCTTCTCACATTGGGGTGTGAGGGCTAGGCTTAGGGAGTGGGGGATAGATGTGCCAGAAAATAGAATAACTGTGGCACTTCTCCCAGGATGTCACTTTTACTTAATGTTAAGTAACTTAAAATAGTGTTGCTTTATTAAAACAACCTGGGATATATGGTGAAATAGAATGCAAATTTTCTATCAAAAAATAATGATCACATTTTACATTATTCTGCTTCATATAAAAATTGAGAAAACAGAAACAGGAGGAAATTCCCCAATAGAGATTCATTGAGATTAATAAGCAAACACTGGCAAGAGAGTTATGGAGAAGGAGCTTAAGGAGAGAAGTTATCAGTGATACATTTTTGGTCAAATTCCAACTTTAGGTAACCTCTCTTTTTGCTTCACTTAGACATACCAAGAGAATGGCAATAGTCAAATGAGAGTTCTTTTTAAGACAGAGGATAGTTTTTTTATAATTCTTCTTAAAAATTTATTAATTGAAGGATAATTATTTTACAGAATTTTGTTTTCTGTCAAACCTCAACATGAATCAGCCATAGGTACACATATATCCCCTCCCTCTTGAACTTCTCTCCCATCTCCCTCCCCATCCCACCCCTCTAGGTTGATACAGAGGCCCTGTTTGAGTTTCCCGAGACATACAGCAAATTCCCTTTGGCTATTTTACATATAATAATATAATTTTCCATGTTACTCTCTCTATACATCTCACCCTCTCCTCTCCTCTGTGTCCATAAGTCTGTTCTCTATGTCTGCTTCTCCAGTGCTGCCCTGCAAATAAATTCTTTGGTCCCACTTTCTAGATTCCATATATGCATTAGTATATGATATTTATCTTTCTCTTTCCAACTTACTTCATTCTGTATAATAAGCTCTAGGTTCATCCACCTCATTAGAACTGACTCAAATGTATTCCTCTTTATGGCTGAGTAATATTCCCTTACACATATGTACCACAACTTCTTTATCCATTCATCTGTCAATGGACATGCAGGTTGCTTCCATGTTCTAGCTATTGTAAATGAGCACTAGGGTACATGTGTCTATTTCAATTTTGGTTTCCTCAGGCTTCCCTGGTGGCTCAGTGGTTAAAGCGTCTGCCTGCAATGCAGGTTTGATCCAGGTTCAATCCCTGGGTTGGGAAGATACCCTAGAGAAGGAAATGGCAACACACTGCAGTATTCTTGCCTGAAGAATCCCATGGAGGGAGGAGCCTGGTAGGCTACAGTCCACCTGGTTGCAAAGAGTCGGACACGACTGAGCTACTTCACTCACTCAGGGTATGTCTAGGAAAGGGATTGCTGGGTCATATGGTGGTTTATTCCTAATTTTTAAAGGAATCTCCATACTATAAGACAGGATTTTAAAGTATGAATGAAGGCAAAGGGACAGAACTAGCTGAGAATAAATGTTAAAATACTGGACAAGAGACCTGGATTAAGACCTGATTCTCACCAGTGATATGATCTTAGGTTATTTAACTTCTGGGAGTCTCCCTTTTCTCGCTTGTGATATTGAAATAATAAAAGCACTTATTTTTTGTTAGAAGCTGGTACATAGTAAGTATTCATTTAAAGTTACCTATTATCAAAATACATATTTTGGAGGGTTAATGAGGAAAGGAACCATATGAATAATGCATAGTGCTGAATGTTCGGCAAAAACTCAACCTACGGCAGCACTATTATCGTATCTTTTTTACAGGAAGAGTGTCTTGAAGGAAAGAGTCCCAATATGACAGATAACCAAATTTCACCTCAACTAATAAACGTAATTTAAATGTTAAAATTTCACTGGTAACAGGCACATAGGTATATTTTAATGTGCTTATGATATAGAATAAAGTTTGTAAAGAGACAGGCTCTCAATTACTTCTAAGGTTTTTTAATTTTTTTTTAATTTAACTGAAGCTAGCTGGCCTACAGTCGTACTGCAAATGTTAGAAAAGGAGATTTGTAAAGTTTGATAAACGGGCTAAGGGCAAGCCCTGAGATACAGCAACTCAGGTCTCAGGATTCTGGTGCAGATGCTCCTGGAAAAAAAGATGCGTTTAATGGGACACAAGAGGCAGGATGAATTAAAAAACACTGCTATCCCGCGCTCAGCTGTATAAAGACGGGAGGGCTGCGGGGAGGCGCGAGCTCTTTCCTAAAGGCCTTCCTTTCCGAAGGGGGCAGCGCCCGCAGAGGAGAGGGCACGGCGAGCCCTTGGGGACGAGCCTTGGTCTCCTTTGTCCTCTCCCCCGCCGACGAGTGAGCACAACCAGCTGAGCTGGTGAGCAAAGTGCGGCAAACAGCAACAAACACGGCCGAGGGGAGCGCCCTGCCTCCTCTCTCTACTACACCGTCGTCCTCCACCCCGCTCCTCCCGGCTCTGCGCAGTCCTACCGCGACGCCTCCACCTACCCACCGGCACCTGAAGAAACTCAAGGGCGGAAGTGTGTGAGGAAGGGGTCGAGACGACGCCGCCATAGCCTCACACATTTAGGCCGGCGGGGTTGGAGGCAAGAGGGGGCGGAGGGGCCAGGCACAACCAAAACTGCAGAGTCGCCGGCGAGGCCCGAAGCCGGAGAGAGAGCGAGGGTACCTGCGGAAACCTGAGGCTGGTGAGCAAGGGCCGGACCGGCGGCCAGCCTTTCCCAGACGCCCTACGCCTCAGACGGTTATTCGCAGCTCGCTCCACCGCGGCACCGCCGGCCCCGAGACCTCCCGCCAACCCGAGCGAAGCCGACGCAGGCCAATCAGCGCCCGGAGCCCGCCCCTTAAGGCGGGGCTAGCCCGAGGCTGCGCGCGACGCCTGCCGACCTTTTACCGTTACCTTTTCTTGTTCCCCTCCCCGAAAGGGCCTGGTAAAAAGGCGGGCCCCTACCAGGCCTCTTCTTGCCTTCTAACACAACCCCTTCCCCCTGGGCACATACCAAAGTCAGGCGTGGATTAGAGCCATTTATCTTCCCTCCAGCGAGACGGAGAGGCACCGCTGGGTCGGGAATTCTGCCTCACCGCACCAAGCATATACACTGGCAGGTAGGCGAAAAACGGAGACATCAATAGCGGGAGGACGAAGAATCAGAGAGGAATTTTGCAGCAGTAATTATAAATTGCTGCTACGTTAAAATAATTACAGAAACAGAGGAAAAGGCAACTTAAACTGAAAATTGTGTGAATACTGTGGCTCACTGTGAGAAGGGGTAATGATCTTCTATCCTGTTAAATCTCTTGTTCTAACTTCTACAGGAACCTTTTCGTTTTGGCGGCATTCTAGCCCTTGGCCTGGTGCCTAGGATGTAAGGTGCTTAATGTTTGTTCAATGAATAAGTAAAAGGATTCTTCATAGCATTTAATTTTGTCCTGACAGCTTTTCCTCTTCCCTTCTAATTTATAACCTGCTTCCTCACCCCTTTGATATATCACGTTGCTGCAGTCTTCTAAGTATTTTGAATGTGCATACTACTCCAGAATGGATGGGCCAAATTTAAATCGTTTTGATATTTGCATTGCTTCTACATTTTTCAGTTACCACCACTGTTGTTGCTATTCAGTTGCGAAGTCGTGTCTTGACTCTTTGCGACCCCATGGACTGCAGCACACCAGGCTTCCCTGTCCCTATTTCCCAGAATTTGCCCAAGTTCATGTCCATTGAGTCGGTGATGCCATCCAACAATCTCATCATCTGTCGCGCTCTTCTCCTTCAATCTTGTCCAGCATCAGGGTCTTTTCCAATGAGTCGACTCTTTGCATCAGGTGGCCAAAGTATTGGAGTTTCAGCTTCAGTATCAGTCCTTCCAAGGAATATTCAGGACTGATCTCCTTGCAGTCCAAGGGACTCTCAAGAGTCTTCTCCAACACCACGGTTCAGAAGCATCAATTCTTCAACACTCAGCTTTTTTTTTTCATTTATTTTTATTAGTTGGCGTCTAATTACTTCACTACATTCCAATGGGTTTTGTCATACATTGACATGAATCAGCCATGGAGTTACAAGTATTGCCCATCCCGATCCCCCCCCCCACCTCCCTCTCTACCTGATCCCTCTGGGTCTTCCCAGTGCACCAGGCCCGAGCACTTGTCTCATGCACCCAACCTGGGCTGGTGATCTGTTTCACCCTAGATAATATACATGTTTCAATGCTGTTCTCTTGAAACATCCCACCCTCGCCTTCTCCCAGAGTCCACAAGTCTGTTCTATACATCTGAGTCTCTTTTTCTGTTTTGCATATAGGGTTATCGTTACCATCTTTCTAAATTCCATATATATGTGTTAGTATACTGTAATGGTCTTTATCTTTCTGGCTTACTTCACTCTGTATAATGGGCTCCAGTTTCATCCATCTCATTAGAACTGATTCAAATGAATTCTTTTTAATGGCTGAGTAATATTCCATGGTGTATATGTACCACAGCTTCCTCATCCATTCGTCTGCTGATGGGCATCTAGGTTGCTTCCATGTCCTGGCTATTATAAACAGTGCTGCGATGAACATTGGGGTGCACGTGTCTCTTTCAGATCTGGTTTCCTTGGTGTGTATGCCCAGAAGTGGGATTGCTGGGTCATATGGCAGTTCTATTTCCAGCTTTTTAAGAAATCTCCACACTGTTTTCCATAGTGGCTGTACTAGTTTGCATTCCCACCAACAGTGTAAGAGGGTTCCCTTTTCTCCACACCCTCTCCAGCATTTATTGCTTGTAGACTTTTGGATAGCAGCCATCCTGACTGGCGTGTAATGGTACCTCATTGTGGTTTTGATTTGCATTTCTCTGATAATGAGTGATGTTGAGCATCTTTTCATGTGTTTGTTAGCCATCTGTATGTCTTCCTTGGAGAAATGTCTGTTTAGTTCTTTGGCCCATTTTTTGATTGGGTCATTTATTTTTCTGGAGTTGAGCTGGAGGAGTTGCTTGTATATTTTTGAGATTAATCCTTTGTCTGTTGCTTCGTTTGCTATTATTTTCTCCCAATCTGAGGGCTGTCTTTTCACCTTGCTTATAGTTTCCTTTGTTGTGCAAAAGCTTTTAAGTTTCATTAGGTCCCATTTGTTTATTTTTGCTTTTATTTCCAATATTCTGGGAGGTGGGTCATAGAGGATCCTGCTATGATTCATGTCGGAGTGTGTGCCACTCAGCTTTCTTATAGTCCAACTCTCACATCCATACATGACTACTGGAAAAACCGTAGCTTTCACTAGACAGACCTTTGCTGGCAAATTAATATCTCTGCTTTGTAATGTGCTGTCTAGGTTGGTCATAATTTTCCTTCCAAGGAGTAAGCGTCTTTTAATTTCATGGCTGCAGTCACCATCTGCAGTGATTTTGGAGCCCCTTAAAATAAAGTCAGCCACTGCTTCTAATTTCATGTACTTAAAAAGGAATTTGGCCTTGCCTAATTTGTGGTGCATGCAAGCTCAGTCCTGTCCAACTCTTTGTGACCCCATGGACTGTGTAGCCCGCCAGGATCTTCTATCCATGGTATTCTCCAGGCAAGAATACTGGAGTGGGTTGCCATTTGCTACTCCAGGGGATCTTCCCGACCCAGGGATCGAAACCGGATCTCCTGCAGGCAAATTCTTTATTACTGAGCAACCTGGGAAGCCCCCTATTTATGGTACTTCCTAGCAATTAGTTCCTCAGTCAGCAACTATGAAGAACGATTATTTAGTTCCCTTCTTTTTTGGGCTCTCACCCAGTTAGAGGATGGCAAAAACCACCTACATGTAAGAGGATACAATCTAGGAACTCATTTTTCATTTTAAGCATCTTGGACATTTTCTCAAATGAACCAAATAACAAATTGGCTGTGAAAACCTTAAATACTGATTCTCTTGAAAAAACACTGCTTGAAGCCTCATCCTGCTTTCTCTGGTGGTTCTCTTTTCCCCAAGGTATCAGGGTTTACTGTGATTACTAGTTTCCAGGCTTGGGTACAGAATGTTTACTGAATGTCTACTACAGGCATGCTGCTTTGCAGATACATTTTCTTTTTTACAGATTGAAGGTTTGTGACAACCCTAACAGACGTGTGCAAGTCTGTTAGCACAGCTTTTCCAGCAGCATTTTCTCACATTGTCTCTGTCACATTTTGGTAATTCTTGTAATATTTCAAATATTTTCATTATATTTGTTATGGTGATCCATAATCAGTGATCTTTGATGTTATTATTTTGAGGTGCCATAAAGGGAGCCCATAAAAGCCCATCTATAAATGTGTTTTGATTGCTCCACTAACCGGCCATTCACTTATCTCACTCCCTTTCCTTGGGCCTTTTCCCTAAGACAACAAAATTGAAATCAGCCCAGTTAAGGTTTTACAGTGGCTCCACAGTGTTTAAGTGAAAGGTAGAGCTGGATGTCTCCCATTTTAAATCAAAATCCAGGCATCTTTTACATAAATGGGATTGCATACAAATTTAAAAAATGAAATATTTGATATGTACAAAAATATTAGTAATATAAATGGCAAGCCAAGTATAAAATAAACACTCAAGAAACCACTACCCACCAAAAAAGCATGAAACCTAAGACCCAAGGAATAGAACATAATACTGTTGAGATTCTGTATACTCCTCCTCCCTCCCCTTACTTCCCAGAAAAGGTGACTTCTGTTTTTCCCACTCCATACTCCTCCTCCTCCCAGGGGCTCTAAAAGCCTAACCACTGGACTGCCAGGGAATTCCCCCATTCCATTTTTTTTAGATTTACCATATTCCCAAGCATAAATCTTGTTTGAAAATTTAACATTCTCTTTATTCTCCATACTTTTTAAGACTTAGACATGCTAATACATGACAGTGAATCATTTTCATTCTGTATAGGACTGTTCTAAAAATATACCGTAATGAATCAATGCTCCTGTCAAGTCATTTGGGTTATTTTTTGCTATGACTGATATGAGCATTCCCGTACACAGACCTGGTTTTCTGGTGTGCTGTCTCTGTAAGGCCACTTAAGTTATTTATAGCTTGCACAGGCTCTGATTAGTTGGTTGGTTGACTGATCAGTGCACATGTATTAAAGTCAAATATTTTGAATACTACTTTTGTTTATGTATGTATGCCCCATAGGGCACACATGGAGTTTTTCTATAAATGCTTTGAAGTGAAACTATTGGCTTTTAGAGTATGCACATTTTCAACTAAGCAAGATTATCAATGCTAACTAAATTCATTTGCCAAGGAGCTGTATGTACTAATTTTATGTAAGAGTTTCCATTTGTCGACATCTTACCAACGTCATGTTTTCAGACTTTGTGTGAAAAAGATTAATCTCAAGGTCCAGCCACTGATTCAAGCTGGGCAAAACTCGCTTCCTGGAATTTTGTACTATGACCAAGTATGGCTAATTGCTCTTTTATATGGTAGAGGTTAAAAACTCTTCAGAAGTATTAGCATTGAGCAGTAATCAAAAAGAGAAAACTTCTCTCCAGTTTTTGCCACTGTACCTCTTTTTTGTCCAGTAATGAAAATATCTATTTTTATTTCTCCTCATTCTAGCTTCTACTTATGACATAATCCTTATTTGTTAAATTGAGCCAACAGCCTGTTCACTTTCAAGTTTTGATTCCTGGTTTTAAGTGTTAAGTTTTAAGTGTTCATTTACTAGGTTGACTTTTGAAAGATAAAGTGTCACACAAACTACATCACCTTCCTAAAAATGTTTGAAGTGGCTCACAACAAAGATGACTTTAAGGTCAATAAAATAAAACCTAAATAAA